GAGGGGGGGGGGGGGGGGGGGGTACTACCACCGACTAGGGGGAGCCCTTCGCGCGTACAGTAGGCGTGATTCGCGGCACAGCCCCCAAGCTCGGAAAGGGACGCACTCAGTGCCTAGATTACGTGCTTGTCGCGAGGATGAAATCGCGGCCGTCATGCGGGAGAATCTAGCCCTACGGCGACGCTTGCGACAACTTCCACCCCCTAGCGAATGTGCTGCGTTTGTAGAAGAGAGACATGAACCAGGAGATGGTGGACGGATGCCCCGGCGTTGTTAACTCGGGGTCTTCCCGTGCTAGCCGAAGAGAGATTATGCCAGTGCTGGCAAAGACAATAGTGAGACAATCGAGCACCCACAGCCAGGGTGTCACTGGCAGTGCCGCGTTCGTCATGAAGGAGAAAGAGGCTAACACACATGCTGGTTGAAGCAGCTGATACCAGAAACACACGCATCAGGCCTACATAGCCGGCGAGACCAAGGGCGATGGTCTGCCACTGACAACGCGAGTAGGGTCTTCACTGTACACTTACCGTCGCTTATAGACAGTGTCTCACCTCCTCCGCAGCTTGAGCTCTTCCTTCGATGGCACTACCACCGAAGCGTTCAAGCTGCAGTCTGCCTTTGCCTCTGGCTTCTCTGCCTCCACCGTGTCACCAGCCGCGCTGTTCTTGTCGTTGGCATGGCCGTTCGACCCGAACAGGGAACGCGCCACATTCGGTCTCGTCGTACTACCTTCGCCAGTCACGGCGTCCTCTGCCACCGCTGCCACAACAGAGGCGGTGCGAGAACTGTCCGACGACCCAGAGGAGCCCCCTCCCTCGAGAGTCTTCGTGCCAATCAGGCCGATCTCGATCAAGACGTCTTCCGGCAACAACGTCTCGCTCTTTCCTTCGGCATCGCCCAGCGGATCGCTGCCGCCATCAGCGTTGCCAGCACCTTCAGATGCTTCTGCCACGGCGGTAGCCTCATCTCCACCCTCAACTTCCGCTCCCTTGTCCTCCGGCACGTCTCCCTTGTCCCCGGGGACCTCTAGGCCGCCGTCCTTGTCTTCGTCTTCTCCGTTGACGACCTGTTCCACCTCTTGCTGGTGTGCTGCATCTGTTGAGTGTTTGATGTTGTCCTGAGAACTTTCTTCTTCCGCCGCGTTTTGATCTTCCTCCGGAGGACCGCTCTCGCCGGGAGAAGCTTCGTCGCCTCCCCCGCTCTTGACGTGTTCCGACGCGTCATCCTCGTCGCCCCCCTCGGCCTCTTCGTGATCGCTCGGCAGGCGGGGAGACTCTTCGCCGGGTGCATCGGACAGTGAGGCGGTCAAGCTGCTACCGTCCCCGTCTGCTGCAGCAGAAGAGCGCGCACAATCGGGACGATCCAAACATACAAGTAACTTCTGTTTACGACGAGACGACAACAAGCAAGCATAGCTGTAGGTCTGTCGCCAAGAGCCGACGAGTCACAATCTGTGTACTCTAATAGAACAGTATCTCGGTGGACGGGCACTCTCCGCTGCTGAACAAACTTGTAGAAACTGCTGGCAACAACCAGTCCAAAGCGAACTTGACGAAGCGACAGAGCTATGAAATAGGCAGTCAGACGAGTCGACCCCCCCAACTCGTACTCGATGCTCGACGTAGGAGCAGCCTCGTTCTTCGCCCCAGCGCTGTCAAAGACTAAATCCACAAACATAGAGAGAGAGAAATAACTCCCAACACTCCAAGGCATTCCGTCCCGTGGTCTGGCCGCGATGCCCTCCCTCAAGCGACCGACCATGGACTCACCCGAGTCCCCTTGAAGCACCAACCCCTCCAAGATGTCCGCCACCTGTCCGGCTACCAAGCTGTCTCCGCCGTGCCTCTCCAGGCAGTCCCTCAGCATCTGCCGCCTGCTCTGCGGCCCGTCTCCGACGCCAGTCCAAAACTTCTCCACGTCCCCCCTCCCCGTGTCCATCGCGATCAACGATCTCCACCCGGACTGCTGCACCCGAGCGTCTGTAGAGTGCGCCTTCATCACAGCCAGAATAGCCCCGGCGTCCTTAAGGATTTCCATCGGCGTGTCTACATCTTCAGCAGCATCTTCGACTTTCGCGTCCCCAGGTGCTCCCGAGACAGCCTTGTCAGTGTCGCCACCGCCTTCGTCGTTTTCAACAACGGCGCCTCCAGCTTCCGGTGCGGGGCCGGCGGCGGCGCCACCGCCGCGAACACCCGCGGCGCCCTTTGGCCGATCAGGCCGAGTCAGCCGAACTGTGATAACATCCAGGGCCGACTTCGCCGCAGCGGCGGCTGGTCGCCCCGAGTACTCCCCGACTCTCGCGAGGCACCTCACCGACAGCTGGAACGCGTCGTCAACCACCGGCCGGGCGTCTTTACCGCCGGCGTCCGCCAGAGTCGCAACAGCCCCCAGCGCGGCAGCAATCGCGTGGGCCTCGGCATCCTCCACCGTCTCCGCATCTTCTTCCACCTCGAACAGCGCCCCGGCCACGGCGGCCGCCGCCAGTGCCCCAGCGTCCACGAAGACCTGCGGCCCGGTGCCCCCTTTCGCCAGCCTCTCGATAATACGGAAGCAGGCTCGGGCCAGGAGCGGGTCTGCGGACTCGCACAACGTCACGAGCGCCTCTGCCACGCGTCTTGGCGACTCCCTCTCTACCGCAGCCTCGAGGCATTCGAGTCCCGGGCGGCACAGGCACAGCGCCGCGAGAAAGCGGGCTCCTTCGACGGGCCTCGCCGGTGGAACATTCTCACCCTCCTCTTGTACGTCTCCTTCTCCGCCGTCCCCTCGAGAGAACCAGGACCAAACATCCGCCGATACCAGCAACTGAGCGGCTGCTTTCTCCGCTTCCCTTGCCTCGTTGGTTGCCTCGGTGCCATCGGCCACCGCGGCTGCCGCCAGAATCGCGGACAGCGCCCGATCCGGAGCCTTGCTGCTCGCGCCGGACAGCCACCACAAACAAGTCGCGGCCGCCGCACCAGGTGCCTCGGGCGTTGCCTCCACAACAGTCAACACCGTCTCCACGCAGTTGTCGTAGTCGCTGAAGGTGGGGCGGTGGGGGTCGTCGCAGGACTCCTCCTCTGATTTAGCCCGGAGCGAAAGAGCACACGCTTCCGGGGACTTGCCAGTGAAAATCCTCTCCACGACCTTTAGGGCGGAAGCTAGGGCTACGTCCGACCCTTCCTCTAGCGCCTCCGGGAAATCTCTGCCGCGACATTAAGCAACGCATATGTTTAGCTGTAGAGCAGACTGGGTAAACGAGACATTGACTACACCTTTGAAGCGGACTGTGCAATAAGGACGATTTTGTCGTCGATTTGTTGAGGTGGATGTTCTCGAGGTATTCAAGGCTGCTCGCGCAACAGAAACACCCACGGGTGAAAAACGCGGCACACGTTAGAAGGGAGGGGGAGTGGCGGAGAAGAAAGTCTGGGGCACTCGGGTTGCAGTCCAGAATGGCGCGCCCCCCAATAGTGTCAGTCAAAGCTGCAAAGAGTACCACAAAAACACAAAACCCTACCTTACCTTTCATCACGACACTTCGCCAAGCTGGCAACATCAACATGACTTCGTGTTCGACATACTTAGGCACAGCACAAAGGGGTCAGCTTAATCCCCAGCACCGAACCTGATGGTAGCGAGAAGAACTCCGCCGGTCCCCCTCTCCTCGAACGTAGCTCTCCCCTCTTCTGTTCGGCTGACGCGCTCCAACGCCTCGCAGCACGGTCGCATGATGGAGCTGAGACGGCAAAGGATGAAGAAGACGAATAGGATCATCGATGAGTGAGATACACAAGCCGGCAGCAGGCGGTCGGTAAGCGGCGCAAAGACGATCTTGTTACTCTTCGAGCCCCGGCTGCGCCCGACGTCGATACCTGCAAGCAGGTAATTTGGCAATCGATCGTGAGCTTTGTCACGGCTTCGCGCCGCCACGTCTTGTTCCCACCGAAACGAGCTTGGTGTACTCGTGATCGGGTCCGGTCGAGTCGGGAAATAAAGGTATCGCGCACAAAATAGCATCCGAATGTAATCGAGCAAGGCTCGTTAGTCGCCGTCATGCCTGTACATGGAGGCGACACGATCTTGTGGCCTAAATCAGAGCCCGGAGCGGCCGTCACAAGGAGTAATCGTTGTTGACACGGCATCATCTTCTCCAAACATCGGCCGTCGGGGGATCGATCGGCGTACCACCGCGTACATCCGCTCGAACGCTCAGCCCGAGTGGATGTTCATCCGGTCTTCGTTGCTGTTCTTGGAACATCACTCTGTCGCGAGCGAGCGAGCGAGCGGGAACCTCACCGTTTGTCCCGACGCCCCCAAGAGGGAGAATATCGAGGTCCCAGTGCACGGCAAGGAAACGAAGGGGTGCGAAGGTGGCCAAGAGGCCGGGTCCGTCGGCATTGGCCTGTGCCACTACCACCGGGGGTGCTGCGCATGGGAAACAGTGATAGAAGTATTCACTCAGCAGATATTGATTGAGTTGTACCGAGCGGGATGAATGATGTAGATCGCTTCGGTTCAATGTTGCTGCGCTCCCAGCGACATTCTCCTTTGGAGGTCGATGACGGCACTGCGGTTAGCAGGGAGTATGCGCCAGGAGGGGTTGAACCGAGAGGGGAAAACGTCCCCCCGGAACGAGCAGCGACTGGAAGAAAAAGCCAGCTCAAGTAGGCACCATGCTGAGCGATCAGGCTTCGCACAGCCCCGCTCGCCCCGCCTCTCGCTGAGACATTAAGGGCTGGCTTTGTCGCCCGGAAATACTTTTACTGCCTGTGTCGTGCAAGTGGACCTGCTTCTCCTCGCGCTGAAAACTGGATATAGGTCGTCAAACCGACAGTTGATCCACGTGCTCGAAACAATCGGGTCGAGGGAACGGAATGGCCCATCGCACGGATTCAGTACGTTACTACCCTCCATGCTGTTGGCAACATGCGGCCATTTCACGTGAGCCGGCTTAGAGCAGCACATAAAACACACGAGCTCTTGTCTTTTCACACCGCACACACACAGCCTGTTGGCACCGTCGATGCTAATTTAGAGAAACGCATCAACACACACGCACACGGGAGCTTGATCACTACAAAGCGTTTTGCGCTTGGCCCCGCAGGAAGACGGAAGACTCACGTGTTTTCGTTCGGCAACTCTTCCTCTTAGAAGCAAAAGCTAGGTACCCAATACCTTCGGGGCGGGGTTGCCAGGCTCACCTATGGTTCCCACCGAGTTGCTCGAGCATGCACTCGATCGCTCCAAGAGCCCCGCCGTCGATCAGCAGAGAGGCTGCTTGCCCGGCCAGCGAGGACATCAAACGCGCGCACTCCACTTGGCACTCGACGGTTTGCGCGTCATCGCCTTGTTACAGCACGATCGAAAGAACAGCGGTAATTGGGTCCAAACATAAGAGTTATGACTCGGTGAGACTACGACCCCAAGCCTTCAACCACAGCGCCATTTTCAATGGTAAGGGAGACCCGGCGCAAGTTGTCGCAACCGCCGGGCGTGTGGCCTACAGACCACCCTTCCGCGCCTATGACCCGAATACTACCGCGACCATTGTGTCAGCATGAATATCCTGTGTAACCTTCTTTGTGTCCAGACTTACCAGAAACTCCACGGTCCAGGCGGCCGACGAGGGCCTCCACGAGTCCACCTCCTTGCGAATGGGAAACCCCCGACCCGAACTTATCCACCACCCAGACGGCCGTTCGGCAGCAGAGGCTGAGGACTGACGGCTTCGCCATAGGTTCTCCTGATATCACCCTTGTGATCCCGTGTCAAGCATTCATACGAAAGAAGACGAACCGTAAGAAAAAGCGGAAGATGGCGAGTAATGTATAAACCGTAAGTAGAAGAGTAAAATTGGCACGTGTGTCACTACATCACAATAATTTCGTCCATAACAACTAACGTTCAAGACGCGAATATGCCTGATTTGTGACCCTTACGGTTCGATTGTAATGAGCCGCGGAGCGACGAAGAAGCGACTGTTATTGCTTGGAATGAAGGAAAAAATTAGGCTCAAAATATTGGCCTGCGCCACACGATGCAGGGGCGCTCTTTTGATGTTCGCCTAATTCTCGCGAAATGGTCCTCCTTTCGACCCAAACAGGCAAACAAGACCAATCTATAGAGCACCAATTGGCGATCTGTTGGCTTCTGAGGAGGAAACGCGTTGAATCCATCATAACAGAGTTTCGAATTGGTACACGACGGCAATATTTACCACAGGAGAGTCAACATTTACGGATTATTGAACGGTGAATAAATTACATTTTCAACACCGCGCGCGGACCGTGTAATTTCCACGATTTTTTTCCACGTACAATTCGACGTTCCAATGGTAAAAAATGCCTTTGTGAATACCAATCCGTAAATGTTCTGTGATGGATTCAACGCGTTTCCGCCGTTCGAAGTAAACTAACGAAGACAGCCCTGAAAAATAGGGCACTCTTCGTGGTGCTCCGAAAAGAGATCGTCGTGCTATACAGGTGTTTCTCCCGAAAATTCGTAGAAATGCCTCACCCTAACTCCCGGGAGTTGTCGACATAACGGCGGAACACAAAGCGGAAACCTCACACACGCAGGAGAAAACGTCACACACACAGCTGGGCAGCTGTCAAAAACAGCAGGCGTATACGGCCTGCGGGCCGTGGGTATAGCCATGCGCTGTGTGTAACCCAGCAGGTTGATGACGGTTGCATGGGCCCAACTGACTGCTAAAAAAAATGACGACTAGAATGAGATATCACACACAACTCTACGCCTTTCCACGCACACGATCTGACGATCGCTCACGCCCTTGCGACGCGGACAACGAGAGAAAATTTCCAGGGCGTGCGCGTCCACTTGTGCTGTGCGTTCTCAGATTGTTGCTTACGCCGCGCTGCTGTCTTCGAAGACAGGCGTGAATTGAGGCGAGGCCGTTTGCCTGCTATCGCTGCTGCTCACTCTCTCGCTTGAAATTGATGTCAAGAAGTTTTTCTGTGCTTGGGTAACAATGTAAACTTCCTTGCTGTCCCTCCGTGGAAAATTCGGCAGGGTTGAGACGATTAAGTGTAGGGCGTAAGTTGTGAGCCTGCCGCATCCTATGTCAATATGTCACGATGCAAAATATGTCTACGCTGCTGCTCAGCTCTGCGCGGTGTGATTTGCTCATCGCCAGACACATGCAGCATTCCAGGCTCTTCCCGGTATGAGTATTCGGGTCCTCATGTCCACATTCGATTTGCGCACGGTGGAAAGACATGCGCCAGTTCGTGGCATCAACGGTAAAACACACATCCGGCTGCCTCCCCCCGTCGGCCACAAGCGCCTCCTCGTCGCGCCAGGCGCACTCGTGCACCTGGTGCACCTGTAGCTGCACTATCACAGCATCGCAGATCGGCAACTGCAAGGTACTGGGTTGTACCCCGCGGTTCACTACCCCGCCCTATCTAGTAAACACACGTGAATTGCCAACCTGCAGGATGCACATGGTGCGATCTACACAACACAAGCAGTTATGGGTATAGAGTAGTCCTGCTCCGACGTCGGTACATACATACGTACGCATCAACATTTCACGGTACGACAGGTCTGGATGACAAATCACGCCGAGCCTATGGTTTGCGGTCGGATGTGTAGTGTTTGCTGTGGAATGCACCACTTGTTCATGTACAACCGACCGGGGCCAGGCGTGTCCTTGACCGGAACGCGATCGTCATCGTTCAAAGTAAGTCAATCCACCGCAACAAAAGCGGCAAGTCTTTCGCTGCCCGTTGCTAGACTCAACGTACCGGGTGATGACCTCAAGCCCCCTCGCACGGCTGAAAGCTTGGGCGATCTCCGTGGGGTCGGTTTTCCCTGCAATTTAGGAAAGGATGGGCGGAAGATAAAATATTGGTGCACCGATAATATGACACCGTTGAAAAATGAACGATCACCGTGCCGTTTGGGACTGCTCGAAACAAATTTCAGGACCACGGTGTGGGGAATAGACTTGTGCTCGTTCCATTGTGAAGCAAGATTTGTCTGGGGAACATAGGTTTCAGCTGGGAGAGAGGGGGTTGGGATCGAAGGGATCACCAACAGCGGTAGTGCGGATCCACATACACGAGCGTCGTTTTCATTTAACCCCAAAACCGTGTAATAGTCTGCACAGAATTAGTCTCCCCGCATCCTCTTGCAGCACAGAGCAAACCATGTTTAATTTTCAACACCATGAAGGACACACGGCTGCCCACTCTCACCTGCCGAGAAAGCGTGGAGAATTGTGCTCAAGTTGTACGACACGTGCTGATGAAAAGAAGCGTGCTGGGCCATCTCCAGCACCTTCCGCTCCACCTGGGCCCAGAGATAAAAAGCATTGCACGATACCAGCAGTCAGCGAGAAGGGAGAAGCTCCCGGCTTCAGGCCGAAAATCAACCGATCAACGATGGTTGTGGAACAATGCGGCAATGTAAATGTACCACCGAAGAAGTGGTGCCCGCCGTGGTTCTAGGTGGTACCTACAGCAGCCACGTAGGCTGGGTGCGACAAGGAATATAAAAACCTCTGCTGGATCGCCGTTAAGCTGAGTGCAGGGTTACGGTCGCCAATAGGCCCCAAAGGGCTGCTGCCGATGGGTGCGGGATTCTTCACTGCTGCTGCTTGCTGCGTCGTTTACATATCATTCGATTCTCTTGCGCACACCGACCACGAGGCACCCACCATTTCTGTCGTAGACGACTGCATAGTGGGAGCCATCTCTTGCGAACGCTACGCGATCTTTGGCCCCCTCTATCTCCCCTCGATCTTTATTCCCCCCAGCCCTGCAGCCTGGGGCTTTTCTTTGCCAGTGCAAGAGTGCTCAGCCTGCGGCCTGTTCCTGGGGCCCCGCGAGAATAGAAAGGTTTGTCATGCTCTTATTTCCTAGCTCTCGCGCCCCCTCCTTACAGCTAAACCTCTGCTACGTAGCGTTGCTTGTTTCCCTCCGGCGCTACTTTGCACTGCTGTTTCTAAACATCTATCTCTTGTTTTGGTGGACTGATGGCGACGAACCTGCCGTCTAGGGCGTGGTTCTTTGCTGGCGTAGCAATGCTGTGCACAATTCGGATTGGTGTGATGGCGCTTCGGCCGCTGGGTCGTCATTCTACGAGGAAACGCACCTTGAGGTATGCATGTGTACATCGGCATTACTGCTGTGCATTACAGGGGTTTGACGGGTACATGCGTTCAAGCATAGGTACCCATCAGAGTGCCGGTGGCTGCTGTCGGAGCATGACTCGTCGAACATGTACCGCCAATCGTCGATATTCATCGTCCGCGTATGTGTTACGTCTCTTTGTTGACCGCATTGGTTGGGATCCAAACGGGGTTCTCTTGTCTTGAAAGTGCTACTACTGGATCGCAATCTTCTTCAGCCCCGCCTGATCTGGCCAACCTTCGCGAGCACTACGTCTCCACGGGGATCGACAGGGCGACATTGCCCAGCGAACCGCACATTCTCATGGTCAAGTGGGTGGAGGAGGCTTGCCGTTGCAAGGAGGTACGGAGTACGGACCTTGCGCAGGTAGTGCTGGTTGTTCTTTTCTGACGTCTTTCCAATGACTCATCATCCTTCTACCTACAGCAGTACATAGACTTCGTGTAGGCGGGTTGGCGCTTTGCACAGCAGTGGCGAACACAGGACGGATGTCTACTACTTCAAAAAGTATGTATGCATAGACTACAAAAGTCCAAAGTCTTTACCTCGCTTTGTATTGCTGCTACAGGTGCAGTGGTTGGATCGTACAATGTTTGCACTCTCTTTTCAAGATAAAGCAAGGCAGTCCAAAGCCAAGATCTTTCACTGGATATCCATTGGTCGCGGTGTTGCACGTATACTATTTACAGTGTACCCTATAAACAACACAATAGAGTGCTGTTCTAAGGAGGCGTTGAAATTGCTTTTGTCCCAGCTTGAACTCGAAACGAAAACGCCACCCTTTGGCATTTGGTCCTCATGGGTAACGCTGAATTATGCACGTACCTCACTCACAGGTGATCGAGCCAAACGCCATGTGCTTGGCAACGGTGGGGGAAGGGGGGAAGCCATCGGCTAGATTCGTGCTCATGAAAGGCTATGACGAGAGAGGCGTCACGTGGTACACCAACTACAACAGGTGCGTTTTAGTTTTAGTGCATGTCTGCTGCGGCCAGGTAGTCCAGACCCAACGATGATACATGCGACGTTCCACCTGTGTGTGGCAATGAAACGGAGAGTGCACCGACAAGCGTCGCATCCTCTCTTGCTCGCTCTTTCGGCTCTATAATAGTAGTAGAAATTTCGCATTTGAGGTGCTCATTGTCATCCGCGTTTCAGCACGTGGAAAGATGGGAACCTCGCGTCTTCTAAATCTAAGGCGGCACTATTTATGTAGTTTTCCAGCCGTCCCACCTGTTGTGCCTATGGGACCATCACTTTCACCATCATCGCGCTGTCCACAGGGTGTCCACAGGAACCCGAGAGGACCACACAAACGGAATACAGCATGCCTGGCGTATGGCCCTGTTGCTCACGCGAGCAAGCGTTTTTACGGTCGTTTTTATTTTTTCCCGGAGCAAGGCTGTATGGCGATAGGTCGAAGCAACGCTAGGTTGTGCTGCAATAGTGGTCCCGCACAGCTGTTGCAGAACCAATTGACGCGTTTGGTGCGGGCCGAGGAAAGAAACTCTCTATTCAGTTATTGGCAACTAGCTACATTCACAGATATGATCCGAAGAGTCTCTTACCATCGACCATGATTTTAGACCGCGCTTACAGCGAGATGTTTTGCGACGCTACCGCGATTTCCTGGAGGAGTACCGGCTGGGGAGCTGTGATTCCACGATTTGTTTTTGAGTACAGATTCACAAGAAAAGGATTGTTGTGCGCCTCCTAAAAACGCGGGCAATTTTCACAATGAACGGCAGTTGCTAATTGGCAACGGTCCAGTATTCCCTCGCAGCAATAGTTCAAATGGGTTGTTCTCGTACCTCGTCCGACAACCACGCACTACCCGTTTCGGCTGACGGAGAACGTTGCTGCTTCGATGGGTGCAGCCGCAAGTCGCAGGAGCTGAAAGCGTTCCCCCACGCGGCTATCACTTTCTGGTGGGGGGCACTGCACCGCTCGGTCCGGTTTGAGGGCGAGGTTGCCATGGTGAGCGAGGAGGAGAGCGACACGTACTTCAATTGCCGTCCCACCGGAAGTAAGGTGAGCCGAGAAACCGAGTTCACGTAGCCGCAAGTTGAAGCCTTGTATGTGAGAGGCCACCCACAACACCGAAGCTGCTGTAGAGTCTTGATTCGTAATGTGGTGTTTCCTATACCGCTCGTGTCCTTTCATGTGATGCCATGAGTGGTTCCGCATGACAGCTCTGCATCCTCCCCTCCTGGGAAAAACGTAGTCTTTAACTTGTAACAAGAGCTGTTTAGAGCATCTACAGCAGGGTTCGGCACACCTCTATTGGTAGTGCTCCACATGTCTGTCAAGTACTACGTGGCAGTTGTTCGTTTTCTGTTCCGAAGAACTATTCTACTGTAGTTGCGAGATGCAGACATCTGTTGATTTTTGGGCCGCGCCCACGGTACACTTCCAGAGTTGGAAAGTCGTTCGTAGGTTTGTTTTCTCGAGAACAATACTCACGCATGAAACAGAACGCTTCCCGCCTTGACAAGTGTTGTGCTGATTCCATGGGCGTTGTCATCTCCTGAGAGACGGAAATGACCATACTCGTACTTCATCTTGCAGGTAGGATAAACGACGGGTGTTGAACACGTGACTTTTTTCACAACCGCGCCAGATTGCTCCTCGACCTTGTACAGCTATCAGAAACTCGGAGGCTAGCCTCGTAAAGCTGAGTACAGTTTTGAAAAAGCTTCCTCGGGCGCGCGGGAAATTTCTTTGGGCTGTAAGAAGACTTTGCACTCTGATTGTCTCCAGCTGTCGGGCCAGTCGGGGCCTGTCGTGTCGAACAGCCCACCAGAAGACGTCTTGAACCATAAACGTACGCAGTGAACAGCTGTTTCTGATATGATGTTGAATCTATGTGTCAGCACATGGAAACAACAGCTGAGTATGAGCAGCTAGCTGAAACAAAAAATGTAAGCGGTGGCAGCTGTTTCTGGCACATACCAATAAATAACGTCAGAAGAGAGAGCAGGCTGCACATTACTGCTGTAACGTACTACAACTCAACAGGATGACGCAATTTCAAGTCGTTTTTTGTTTGTTGTGTTCAGTTCTGTCATGACAGCGGAGACGGGTTGTATGTTGACTGTTGTTTCATCTCGCCTCATTCATCCTCACCGGATTTTTGAGACATCATGAGGCTACGGTCACTACCTGATACTGTTCGCACGCTGGAAACGCACATTACGCACGTAGTTTGTTATTCGCTGCCCTTTCGAGGGTGTGTGTGTGTGTGTGCATTTGCTTGGAGAAAAACACCGCTTGATGACGCCGCTCAAGTCGTTCCGCTGGCCGTGATTCCGCCTGATCTGCTTAACTACGTACGTACATACAGCAGAGGTCGAGCCATGTATGTCATGGCGGTGTAAGCAGAGATGCAGAGCAATGCACACATCTCCGTGCAGACCGCCGAGCCTAAGGTCGGGAGGTCGGCACGCACCACGTTTATGTGCGTGGTATGCGGGCTTTCAACCAACAAAAATCCAGAAAATTAGAATATTTTGTTTAGCCAAAATCTTTATCGATGAAAAAACTCGCGCCATCCTCCCTAAAGGTTCGTAATTAGCATCTGTGTCCTCTGTTTGTTTATTTCATGTACATATGTTCTTGCACCACCCCTTGCCGCGGGGCCTTGTATGCCCTACAATCTTGTTACCTCTGTTTTCTCTTCGTGCTCGCCTATGTGCGATTCTCGTCAGATCGGAGCCTGGGTATCGGACCAAAGCGAGCCCATTGCATCACGGGAGGAGATGACATTGAAGGCGAAAGAAGTGGAGGTGAGGACCTTTCTCAATCAGTTCAAACGTTCAAGCATTGCAAATGGTAATCGCCTGCCCTTGTGGCCAAATGGACAAGGCGTCGCCCTCCGAAGGCGAAGATTGCGAGTTCGAGTCTCGCCAAGGGTTATCTCATTTTTTATTCGAGCGAGAGAACGCTGAGCGCGCCGACTAAGCGCTGTGTCTGCTCGTAGAAAGACATTCAAAATTCCTGCCTGTCTTACACGCTGTATTGTACAGTTGGGGGCGGCTTACGGCTTAGACTGGTTTTTTCCCCGTAGCTCACGGTACACTTTTTTTATTTTTGGGTGTACGCGGAATTGGTTTTTGGATGGGCGCGTGAGGACTAGCTCGGCCGGTGCAACCCTACGTCGGCGAATACACTCCAACCCCTCCTTCTTAGATTTTATTTCTTGCGTTGGACGGGACATCCCGTTGCCTGTTTCCTGTTTCCTGATCCATATTCCTTTGTAGTTTTTGTTGTGTTCCTTTGTGAATGGGTTGAATCGTTTCCCGGTTAGGTTTTTGTTTTGTTCTTTGTGCTGTATGCTGTCGCCGCATTTGGAGTTTTTTTCTGGCTCCATTTCTATTTTCGTTTTTTCGTACCCCTCTTTCGTTGTTGGCTTGTGCACACGGCAGGCGTCTGCGCCAGTTGTACCAGATCGGATATTAGAAGGTACTTAGCGGATACCGGAACGGTGCTTAATGTGAAGACAACAACAACAAATGCGCCATTCGGTTTTTCATATGTGGTTGGCGCTATTCGAGGCGAAGATGTTTCAGTATCACCCGATGGTTTCCAGTCGACGCCCGCCAGTCCAGCGTCATATTTTCGCGGCCGCTCTCCGCTCGTCATTGTTTCGCTGAAGCATGCTTTTGGTTAAGCAAAACATTCTCTTTGCTATTGTTTGAAGAAAGCACGGTCACAAGAAACATGCTAAGAAAAGGCATGGAGGCAAAGGGTTGCCTTAACCTGCATCTGCTATCTAGGGTTAGCCGCAACGCATCTGAGAGAAGATACATGCCGCGCAAAGCAATGCAAGCCTTATAACGTGCCCTTTTGCCTTCCAAACACTGATTTATCGCGTGGCCAACAGGACGCGTTTGCCTCGGAGGGAGACAACATTCCACGACCCCCTCACTGGTGAGTGGACGTTGGCTCGAAATACCGCATATTGGTCCACTTTCACGAAAAGTTCGACGCTGCGTCTATATGTATCCCCACGCACAGACGGACATCGATCGGTGTCATTGTTCTCACAAGGACTGCTGTCTCAGCCACCTAACCATTAGCATTGGCCATAGCACACAATGAGGTATATTTCAAAGACTCTGGGAACGATAAGCCAGCCTTGCTGCGCGTTGCAGGGGCGGCTTCCGGCTTAAACCGTCTCGTGTGGAGTTCTGGGAGGGACAGCCCTCTCGCCTGCACGACCGCTTCATGTACTCCCTTGCGTCGGACGACGCAGACGGAGCGGGGGGCGAGGATGCCAAGGCAATGCCGTGGACGATCACACGGCTGCAGCCTTGAAGGAGTGGCTCCACTTGCCTTGTGCCTAGCCGGGAATTGAGGCACGTGTGTATCGTTGCATGTCTATTGGGCTGACGTGAGTTCATGTCCGTGAGAGCCTGATGGAAGCGTCCGAATTTACGAACGTGACTGATGTTCTTCACGCGATAGTGTGCCCATGGAACCCGTTGGATATACCTAAGAAGCCCAGCAGCTGGGAGGACTAGTCGAATGGAGCGGTATGTGGTAGACGTGCACGGTTTCAGAAAGCTCTCAGTCCTCTGTACCATATGAAGGTCTTCAAATAACGAGTTCGGAGTGAAACCGCACCTGCTAGTTCTCATTGCCAGAACTACCTACCGTGTTGAGTTGTGCTAAGTATGGGTCTTATCTTTTCCCTCGTGACAAGTGGAGGAAACCGCGTGCGATCAGCGTGGCATATCGATTTTGTTCTCGCACCTCTGTTGGCAAAGGCTTCCATGTGTGGGGGGCTCGCGTGGGTAGACAAAAGAATAGTGTGGTGTCGTTGACCTGGCGACAGTAGCTCTATTAAATGACGGGAGAATTCAATCCACGATGATTGTACCGCCTTCTATTAGGCATATTCTTGGGTGGGTTTACGGAGGTCCCAGAGGGGTGGATCTCAGAGATGCTCTCACTCTGTTGCCGTGTATTGCGGCTCGTGGTGGGCAAACCTCTTTTTTGTTTGTGTGTGTGGTCCTCGCTGGTGCATGATGTGCAGATGCATTGGTCCTAATTTTTTCCTCAGCACGTATTGTGCCAACCGGCTATGACTAATAACGAGGGCCAAGTCTCAGCGGCGAGTAATGGACAAAATATGCTCCATTCCGTGTAGATGAGTACGTGAGTCTCCCTTCTCCATACCCTTCCCGATCATCTCGGAAGCCAAGTTTTGGTTGGAAAATAATATGTCGCAGAGGTAACCAGCCTCACAAGCAACGCGTCTCGCTTTTCTGTTCTTGTTCAATGTGCAAAGCACGCAGCGTGGACAACCTCTCAGGTTTTTCAGCCATAGTGCCCACACACTTTGCTGTACGGTCGAGCGTATGCGGACGTATTGTCTGGCCCTACCTGCTTGTCTGCTTTGGTGCCCCCCCGGGCGCACTCTGATGGTGCAACATGCAAAGCGGAGTGACGGGGCTGCAGCACACGACATGGTATCTCTTTTAGCCCCTTACTGTGGAGAACCTTTGAACGGTAGGTGTGGTTAACCTGCCGTCCTGCCGTGGAAAGAAATTCAACCAGATGTAACATACAAGTAGGAACACTAAAAGAATCTCGCCAACAGCGCGACGCTCGCGACCCACGCAACTCTCACGGGGATCACGGGTGGATTTAGAGTCCCACTCTACATGGACACATGGGACTGCCTAGCAAATTATCCATAAATCGAGCAAGTGGGAATTGCACATAGGACTTTTGCCGCCCTCTCCAACAAAAAACACGAGATTTATTTCACTCGTTGCGCGTGGTGGCACAAAGTTGCTTGTCGACTAACAATAGACACGAAGTGTTCACGCACAATTCCAATTATTTTCTAAATACAGCACTGCACTACATACTACGCTGTCAATGATTAGTGACCATCGTCCCCTCCTCGGTTGCTCCGCCGCCAGAATTCAGACGCCACATCCGAGTCGCCCCCAATGTCTTCATCGACTGTCTCTCCAAAGTCCAACCCGGAGAGACGAGGCACGTGCCGACTCTTTGACGCCATCGGGCTGGCAAATAACGGGTTCTCCGCATGCAACTCCTTGTCCAACGCGCCTCCCGTGCTCGAGAGCTCGGAAGCAGAAGACAGCACTTCAATGTCCTCCATTGATTTACCGCTAGCACCAAGGCCTGGAACATTGCGCGCGTTTCGTGCCTCTCGTTTTTTCTTGGCCGACGTGCGGCGGCCACTCTCGCGGCGGGAACTCTTGCCATTGTTTTTACTGTACGCCGGGGATGAACCTGGGGCGTCGGGCACCGACCCATCGACACCAACCGCCCGGCCGTCTTGGCCGTCTTTCAGGTCGTCGTCGGCGTGTGCCCCTGCTGCGAAGTAACCACCGTCAATGCACTTGACACCGATGATGGCGCACACCGAGGTTGCGAGAACGGTAATAAGTACGAAGATCACGATCCACATGTAAGGGTCGCTTCTTCTCATTGTCAGGTCTAAGGCGGAAGGCACGATCTCGAGGGGATCTTCGATGTGGTCCTTGTAGGAGGTGGAAGAAGGGTCTGTGCGCGGTACACGGCGGTCGAACGGATTGGACCTCTGCGATATATTTACGGTGGAGATGATGACGTCCTCGAAGCATTCGCCGATCAAGAGTGCCGCAAACCCGTGCGTGACGTTGGAGAAGGAGTCCAGCGCGGCTGCCGCTTTCATGGCGCCCGTGCTCTGTTTGGCGAAAGGACCATTGAACATATCACGGGAGCCAAAGTAACATTTGTCAGATACATACCAGTACGTGTTTACGGAAGTAACGTTATCAAATGAACAATAGGCGCAGCAAGAAAGACACACTTGCTCAGACTACGACAAGCATGTGCCTTTCTCCCCCGTCTCCGCACCTCGACATCTGTGACGAACTTGATCTCCATATCCGTCGTAATGGCTTGTCCTGTCGTCTGCAGAAGTCTGCCGTCCGCGCCCACCTCGGCAGCAATTAACTCTGGTGGTGGAGTGCCTAAAGACACGTTTCCCACATTTGATGTCTCTCCATGCATGCCCTCTGTATCTTCTGTCCTAGCACCTTCTTGTTCTTGTCCAGCTTGATCCGAACCTTCTATCGCTTGTTCGTCAATGGTAGTGTTGGTAGCAGCTGTGTCAGGCAGGGGAACCGGGCAGCCCCCATCGCTGTGGTTGATGCACTCGCATGTGGATACCCCGAACGCCTCGTTACACGCGGCGATTATTGCTTCTATTCCGCAAGGCTGTTCGCCTTGTTGAAGTCGACGCCTGCAATGCACAAGAGAGGCGGAGAGACGCGTGACAGACACGAGTGACTTCTCTGGAGTCCCATCAATAATGTTCTTCGTGTGTTGTTGCTGGTACGTGACAGTAGTCGTTAACATGAGTGTAGAACGACATCGCGTTGGGAATCACATGCAAACACACACTTGCAAGAAACTATGTATTGTAAGTGGGGTGTGGAGCACTCAATAGACAATAAAAGAAGAGCAGACGGCGAGGAACGCCATACTCCTCCGACATGGAAGGCAAATATTCGAGATCATAGGTGAATACTTGGCGAAAATGCACTGACTCTACAATCTCGCACCTCTGATATGGCCACAAACGTCCGTGGTCAAACGAAGCGAAAAAAGAAAGAGTGGGAGCCGAAACAGGAGTATCTTGACGAGATGATCTGACCTGGATATTTCTGCAGACACAACGCTAACAGAGGTGTAGCTCAACGCCACAGGGTTGTCACCGCCGCTAGGAGTGAACGTCGTCACGGTTGACCTGTCAGTAATGGTAGGGTCGTCTTTCCGAGGCCCCCTTCCGGTCTGCGTGAAAAAAGGTGTCCAAAGTGGAAAGACGGCGTTACATTCCTTTAATTCGAAGCATTCACATATTTCCGTGCGACCCCGGATCGGTACTCCTCAGTAGAGAAGTAAAGGCCATACGGCGGATGAGCGCTGTGTGACCACAAACAACAAGGAGCCCGTAGATGCATCTCCCATCACTGGCATCGGCAAAAGTCTCCATCAACCAGTTCCTCACTACAAGGGCTTTTATCCGCTATTTTTCAGAAGAATGTTCGTGTACAACACGCAGCGAAACGGGCGAGGTTGAATCAGGGGGTTTTCCGCATTACGAGGGCGAAGACGTTGTTTTTGGGATGGCGTCAAGACCGCAGTTTCTTTCATGAACCACGATTTCATGTTTTACCATGAAATTATCATTGAAATCGTTTTTCGTAGGGTAGCCTTGCTTTCCTTCTATTGGTAAATCGTGTCAAATGTTTGCTCGTACCACGGAGGCCGTGTTGACAACGCTGCCCATGTGGAGATCTTTGGTGGTGACCGGCGAAGCCTCCGAGGAGTTGCACGTCATCGATCCTCCAGGGGGTAGAGTATCGGTAGGGCACAAGATTTCCCCCGCTAGGGCGGCATCTGTGACGCTTACGTTGACCAAGGTGGTCGTTCCACGGTTGGACACCTGCAAATACAGAAACAGTGGTGGTGGAACGGTCGAAGGATATACGTGTTGCAGCCCTCGTGCTCGAAACGACAAGGAACGGTAGAAACATCAGGATACGTGTTGTGTGTGCGGTGGTCCTGATGATCGTCGTAGACCTGGAAAACAGAGACGACGGATGCCGCTATTGTTCTGCCCTGTTTTTTTTCATAAATGTTTGGAAGTTTGTCTCGTGGGTAAGGGCGAAATTCAGATTTACGAGGAGAGTGCTCGAGGATCGATGCAACGGTTAGCGGCATGGTGAAATAACACGGTTTGAGTGGCGCAAAGATGCACGTTCGAGCCGTGTGGCTGAGTTTGAGGAAACAGATACCGTGCGCTATCGAAATGACCGTCACGGTCATCTCCACGCTACACCCGATCGGTCCACAAAGCAAGGCGTTCATCGACATGAAATACATTCCGAAAATAACTCTGCAGAAACACTTGCCTCGAATAAATACTCTATGGTGTCGCTCGCAGCGGCGCCTTCCACGTACGACGAGGTCTTCTGCAGAACAAGGTTCAGGCTACGAGCAAGGCTAACAGAGTCGAGATCAGACGTCGATATCTCCGTCTTGGATGGATCCTGCGCCTTGACGATCACCTACAATACGATCACGTAGAACATAACGCGAGGTCAGGCTAACAGGGGAATACCCATTTTCGGGAACCTCGCTTTTGACCAAATCGAATGACTCCCGCCGTAGGGAACTATTGGCAGAGAATATGAATTCTTTGGCGCAGCTCTAGTCGCCCAAGTTGTCTGGGTGGTGAACTCGAAAGCTATCTGGTGGCTAGGTTGGGAATTCGGTTCCCGGCACATTCGTACCCAGAACTACAATTGTATGTAGAGAGCACGTTTGTTCGGGAATGTTGTTCGAGGAAAGATAGCTGAACCATTCTCGCGAAAAAACATTCTAGACAAAGCACCGCAGACTGGCCCTTTTATGTCGTCCCGATCGGAGTCCTTGAGTTCAAGAGGCAAGCGTCGGTGGTGGTAGGCAAAAACTGCGAGCGGATGATTAATCAGAATTTGAGAATAATCTGAAAAACTGCAGACCGGAGAAGGTCGGCAGCTTCAGACCACGAACACATACCTCGTTGGTGACTACGCCTTGGTCGACGTCTCTCTGAGTCAGCACATACTGGCCCGAGCACGAGAAACTCGCGCCAGGGTCCAATGTCAGTGGATTTGCTGCACAGGTGACGTTTTGGACGAACTCGGACAGTACCTGGTGCCAATCAGTTGGTAACGAAAATGTGAGTTGTACTAGTCTGTATTTAGCCCTTGTCTGATTAACTTTCACGCCGTACATATACAACCATCAACCTCGGCATCCACTTCGTTGTCTCCTCAGGATAACACGTTGTTGGCCTACTACGTCTTTCCCTGCGAGCGTATTTTCACGAGGCATACCCGTACCTTGTGCGGAATGACCACCACAACAACACCACCAAAGGTATCTGACCGATTCCGAGTTCGAGAAATGCCTTTATCGCTTGAGAGTTGTTTAACAGATAAGCGCGAACACGAAAGATGCCTGCAGAACCTGGAGCGGAAGACTTTCTTTCAGCTGCTGTGGTAGCCCTATGCCATGTGAAACGTTGCCTGGGTGCCTGTTCGCATAAGTTTAAATTTTTAACTCGCAACGGAAACCACAGAACGTTGGAACCTTGCCTCGCGTTCAACAGAGAAGCGGACGAGCGAATCAAATTCAATGATCTGCTGCTGTGCAGCTATTTGCTAGTCAGGATGGTCGTGGTGAATACAATGCTTAACGTTGCTCTTGAACAAGTACACTTCATTGGTACAGTATTTGTATGGGCCTGGACGCACTATTCCATTTCTTCGGTCGGCATGGTCGTTCACAGTAATGTGCTGATTAGGTTCGCATTTCAGCCCTTACGTGAAAGTCACTGACACGGACGTTGCCGTTGTTGGTGATGATAACGTCGTAGGCGATTGTTTCACCCTCTTCCGCGAGGTTGTCCGAGTTGGGGTCGTTCAAGGTCCCAACCTGCGACATTGTGATAGTAAGAATACAATGGAGGCTGACGTTTCACAAGGGAACAACAGCCGAACGTGTTAGATTGGTGGGTGTTGCGTCCCACTCCATGCAGCTGTGTGCAGGTGTTGTCGTGGTTCGGGCGGGGCAAGTGTACTCACCCCATTCGGCATTGGACAATTCTTGCTCATCACCGTTTACACGTAGTCAGAGCCTGTCCAAAGTGGGAGGGCCGTGCCTGGGATTCAAACGTCATCCTACGCGTGCCCACTCACAATCACCACAACTATTGCAGGGTACGCCACCAGGGCCAGCGTTTCTTCTGCGCCAGCTACCACGAGCGTCCCAGCTGGTCAACACAAGAGTTCGCGCGCAACATCAAGCGAGCCGGATTGTTCAATGGAGCTTGTGGAGGTAATGTTAAACGTGAGATTCAGTGTTGCAGTAGTTGGCGCTGATGGTTCCACTTAGAGTTGGATGAAACATGCGGATGATTGCTGTTCATGGACCCATAAAATTCCATGGTTTTGCTGACAACACCACCGACGTTTGTACATCCAGACAGGGAACACGCGCGTGTTTTGTTGCAGCCCAGTTCCTAGCTCATCAAACTGACATTCTTAGCCTCTACAACACTATCGATACATAGTTCAGCCAATGTGGGCCTAGTGTTGAATTCGTTCAAGCATGAAAAACACTCCAGGTTAGCTAGCTGCATTGCCAGCGGAAACGGCCCTGTGACAGGCACCGATGAAGAACTTATCAAGACTAAGAGACTAATATGCGAGTTCCACATGCTGCTTTTACAACGGTAGGATGCTTGGGTTGCGGGCTCACTTGGGTCCCGTGCTTGGGATGACACGCTTGCTGTCCTGTAGAGGGTTCCGGCGTCAACATCATCCTAGAAAGGGTGCAGCAGGAGCACGAAGATATCGGGGACATCAAATGAGAGAATCAGTGCCTCAACACGGAGAAAGCCTTCGAAAAGAACGACCGGTATTGACAAAGTATCTTGTTGAATGACTTCCGATACTGGTATATTGACTTGTTCAAAGAACGCTGGGTGCCTTGGGGATACCTGTGTGAGGATGTGGGATGCTGTGCACGTGTATTCTTCGTCCGGAGGGAAGATATCTTGGTCGGTATTCGTCTCGGCCCAAGAAAGGCGTCGTTGGCCTACATCGCCGCAAAGACAGAGCGCGAGCAAGGTGTAGCAAGCGATCCAGTGTGAAGTTAGACACGCCCATCAAACCGAGATGCTTATCGTCATCGCTGAACTGGGGATAACGACATGATATCTTCCGATTCATCGAGAGACATTCAAGCATAAATGCTGACAAGACATGAATATGTATCAGTCCACCCCATGAAGTACGAGCAGTTGTCTTGGGGTTGAACAAACACGGCCGCAAAGTTCCTGGCTAGGGCAGAGACAGGAGGGGCAACGCAGACTTCCCCTGGAGTGAATAGCTGATGCTCCTGCAACACCCGAGGGGGTTTATGGCGAAGCGAAACGTGCTCCAAACCAAACAGTTCTAGGTCCTCCGGACGTCCTTTCATCTCCGAGAATGCGTCATTGGGAATATCCGTAGTGTGGGTGCCATCATGTCCCATACTTGATCGTACAGCCAGAAATGTATCCCTCCTTACCGACGGTAGACGGAATGAACTGCTGGCACACCAGTCCTTCCAAGCCGGCGACTTGAGCCTCTACGCCAGTCAGGTCTACGCTGCCTCGGTTGGCTACGGTCAGCGTGAAGGTCACTTCGTCCCCGGAGGATGATTTCCCGTCGTCGTCCCTATCCGACGATGTCGTGTTGCTGCCCTCCAGGGATAAGGCAATTCGATACTTAGCGGGAAGCTCGATCGAAGATGAGTCGGTGACGGTGCTCTCGTCCCCCGCGGGGTTGTCAGCGGTCACCTCGAACTCAAGCTCGATCTGGGATTCGCGATACATTTCCGCGTTTTTCGGGAGAAAGTGGTGGGCTATCAGCATCGCATTACTCGTTTACCCAGCTGAATAATCGGCCTGATGACTAAATATGGGCAACGAAAGTGCTCAGTCTTGTATCTACTGAGAGTGTGTCTTTTCTACGCCCCAGGAGACGATGTCCCACGCAGGATGGCAACACAACGCTTATTCAGCACCCCATCAAAAGTGTTCTCTGCGTAGAGCTAGAGCCGTCTCGCCCGCTTGTCACCTCGCCACGGTTGACATCATCCTGATCGATATCGATCTCTGCCGTGCATTCCAGACTCTGTCCAGGGGCAAGGAGTGGTGACGTGTCCAGGAGTGGTTCGCACACGATCGTTACCCCGCTGGCGCTGTTGCCGGAAGATGGTGAGCCTCTGGCCACCGCGGTTGCGTCCACTTCAACCACGGTAACCGTGACCTAGTGGAACGAAACACGGCGTGTAGATATTCATCTTGCGTTTCTAGGAGACAAAGTTCGGTTGAGAAAGTGTGTGCAAATGCTCAACCTCAGTCGCCGTCGACTCCCGCACTAAAGAAGGAATAGCAGATAAGTAGATGTTCCTCATGACAACACTATGCCATGGTTGCCTGACAATGCAATGAGTTATTCCGCTGCGGTGTGTTGTTTGAAGACAGCTCATCACTGAGGTATTGACATCTACGGAACTTGCCATGTATGGTTGTTACGCAACGAGGGTCGAAAAACGCCGGGGATACCATGGCACCCTAATTTCTTGTGTGTTGTCCAACCGGACATCAGGGCTTCCTGCCCGTACAATAGCATGGTTCAAAGACAAACATGAGTATCAAACCATCCGCATACCTTGCCATTGTTGACAATAGTTACGTTGTACCCGGTGCCTTCTCCGACGGAAGCGATACCATCGCCGTCGCCGTCGACAAAGCGGCCGGTTATGACGGTGTCCACTTGCGCTGGCAGCACTCCCCATGCCCAAGAGCAGTTCGTTGTGCTCCCCGTCATATCGCCAAGCGGACTGCCGAAAGGTCAAAAGGAGAAAAGAATGTACAGTTGTTCAAGAGATACTGTAGCAAAAGTAGGACCATTGAAACAGATCCTGAGTTCGTTTGAGCTTACTTCAGCGGCGGAAATGGTCTGACCCATCCGTTTTGCGAAGGTGAACACTTGAAACAATAACGTTCAAGTCCCTCCAGCGGAACAATCCCTTCTTCTGCAAAACGGTGTAGCTGGGACAGGTACCACCGCAGGTTAGTTTGAATTATCCCCACAAATAGACTGTATGTCCCCCATTAATTCATAAATTCGTCGCACTTATATCCAGGTCAACTCGGGCAGGCTAGTGAGGTCTCTCAAACACCCCGCCGGTTGCTGCCGCGACTACATTCTTTGGATGGCTTTATTGCCCCATCTGCTTTTCGTTCAACATTGTTGAGCCTGATGTACAACTGTTGTTAACCGTGTTCCGCCACCGTCGTAACGACATGTGTACACTCACCTCAACGCAGTGATCTCCACTGTGCTGGTGACTGTGCCGGCATCAATGTCAGCCTGGCCGATCTCTATCGACGATGTACAAACAACCTGCATCGGACGATGGAAATGGACAAGTATGCAGCGAGAGAAACAATTGGGATCGGCTGAACGTTTAGCGGGAGGTACTGTTAGTTGAGGAAAGTCATGTTAACTTGGGTCAATAGCTGTTGAATGAGATAATTCCACCATCAACATACAAACGCGATTGAGGCAATGTGCTCTATTTCCTGCCCTGAATCCATTATTGTTCTTTTGGGCGTTGGAATTTGTGCTGGGCCTTCTTACGCTCCTCGTACGGTGTGGCTTTGCGTTAATCCCCAGCTTGTGACGACAGGGAGCAAGTTCCATTGCCTTGAGGAGATGGGATGAGGAAGTAGGGCGTAGGTCCGAGCGATGGTTTTGAAGAAAACAACAACGACAACGATATGGCAAACAGCAACGACCCCGTTGAGCGGAAGCAGCGCCATCGATGGTAAGCACCAGTGCAAGGACCTCTGAACAAAAAAGGCCGAAGTTCTCCCATCTCACATTATCACCAGGTGCCATCAAATTCAGCGAAGCAACCGCACTAGCATTCCCAGCGGAGGGAATGGCGTTCATGCAATCGACGACTTGTAGCCCAAGGTCAGTCGATTGTTGCAGGGAACCATCTGTGAGCGTAACGCTCCCGGTGTTGCTGCAAAATGAACGGCGAAGGAGCAAGGCAAGTTGTAATAGTGAAAGGGGCAACAACCGCTGTGCGCTTTTGGTGCCTCAGCGCCAAAAGCAAGTTGAACTCATAGTCAGGTTGAGTATCAGCGGCCATTCTTTCGCATGCGAAAGTTTCATGCCGCGCCACCGTTCGAACGCGTAGGAGTTCTCCGGTGTTCGTCCAAAGAATAGTAGGAGATAGCAATCGGAAACCAACGGAATCACGCACCCTGGCCGGCGCAACCCACGGCCGTAGAAGGACGTATGTATGAAAGCAACATGCGTATACGGAGCCAACTGTTATTGTGGTAAACTATTTGCCCGTTCGCCCGACTTCAGCTTTCGCATCCGTGATGTCTTCATACCTGACGGTATAGATCAAAACAACCACTTCTCCAGGATCAGGCAACCCGTCGCGTTCGGCCCCATCCTGCCAAGCGCACTCCTTTGTTACCTGGAAAACAACACATCATTGGCCGGGCGATATCGCCACTCTTTTCAGCATCGGAGAGCAAAGTCGTTCAGGAGGTGGTATGCATACTGAGACAGGGAGCCCACTTCTCACAGAGTACGCCTTTCCACGAACCACGAATCTACATTCCAAGAAAGGGCAACGACTGCCTGCTTGCTTGGCACATATTTTGCCAACACCACATCCGGTGCCAGCGTCTTACAAGAATGGAAGGGTCCTGCGGAAGTTTGACCCACGACGAAGCCTCCGCTCTGGTGGTCGAGCGAGCTTCGCCGTCATCCCTCGTTGGGCCGAATGCATCAAGAGTTGTGACGCTTGTCACATCACCTCTGTCCACGTCCTCCTATAATTGGAGGAAGATTTTTTTGCGGTGTTTGTTAGTGCTCACAACTGCAATTTGATGCAGTGTCCGCCATCTCCACGAAAAGGTATCCGTGTGAAAAGTTAATTGGTTGGACACAACTGCAGTACATTGGAGAGTTTTCGCCATGACGTACAGCGACGCTGTTGTTTTGAATATGGTGGGCTTGGAGCTACGGTAGAATCAAAGCTGTGCAAGGCACAGATGGCAACATGCCTCCGGTTTATCCCTTCGTTGCAGATGCTCGATTGAGGCACAGGTTTCGGCGGAAAACGAATGCGAATTATGGCAGGTTCACGAAATGAGTATTGAAAGGCTTCGATGGGGCATCAATCGGGGAACTGCGCATGCACACAACCATGAGTTATCATTTCAGGGTCTCCAATGTTATTTAGTCCACGGGCGAAAAAGCGAGCCAACGTGCTAAAGCCAATTTATCACCAATGCCACAAAAAGAATAACAGAAATGACGGAGCAGACCGCCTTTAATTGTATGCCGGTTCTTGATGACTTGCCTGCGTGAGCGGGTACGTCGCGTTGCACACCATGCTCTCGGCCATCTCGAGGTAATTTTTCGGGCAGGTTGCTTCGCCCCCTTCAAGGCTTTCTACGACGGTGATTTGGTGCACCGTCAGCATCCCTGTTTTGCGGTAAGTGTAGTAGTTGGAAGTACAGCGGGTTGGACATCGTGTTCTCCTGGTCCAAAACCAATGACAAACTATGATGGCGATACGATTATCAATATCGCAGGCTCCTTCATGCTTGTAGACCTTCAAGCTGCGGAAAGGCGCCACACCTGTCAACCGAATTTGTAGGAAAGAAGCAGCTGCATGGTGTTGTGCTCGCCTCTGCTGTACCAATTAAATTTCTAGAAACAACTCGTACAACCCACAGCTTTTCGAGGCGTCGAGGATACGTGAAGGCTTTGGTATGTATGGTTGCTGTGTCGCCGAACGTTCAAGACCTGGCCACACCTGTATTGCGGACCACCATCGTGTAGCGGGTGTACTCGCCAGCATCAGCCACGCTGTTTCCGTCCGACTCGGCGGAAGCGGTACTGTCGATCTGCGAATCAACGTGCACGCCTTCCTGCTCGACGACAAATACAGTTTCAGCGAAGGCCGTGATAGAGGAGTTGGCTGTTGAGGTTGAGTGGAAATAAGCCGCGTGACGGAAGCTGTCCACAGACGGTAGTGAATTGACCAACCTAATGATAAAAAGTTATTCCGGGACCAAGAAAAGTCCATGCAATACATTTGCATCGTCGAGATACCTCAATACGTTTGTACTGTAGCGTGATACCGATTTTCGTGCAACAGGATTCAGATTGTCGGTGACCTGTGGTAACGATGCCTCCACCAACCATTTTTGTTCTTTGCAAACCTACCATCAAGAGAGACACGGAGGGTTGAGCGTCGAGTCGCTGGAGGTATACCCCGCTGTCACCCACGGCTTGTGCAAAGGGTCCTGAAGCCGTCACGTCAGCTGTTGTTTCCACCTATAGCGCAGTCGTTGTCGTGTGATGGTCAGTTGTAGCCATCAGGTTTGTAGGGTAGTATGGTTCACCGAGCGAGTTGCTCTTCATTTAGCTACAGAGAGCGAAGGCATACAGCTACACCAGCTGAAAGAGTTTGAAGCTGAGGGCGAGAAGCGAGCACCAGAGGAAGACATGAGTCAACTTTCGGACGGCCGCAATACTGGGAAAACCAGATATTCAGCAGGAACTAGTTGTACCATGCCAGTACCTCATAGCGGTCGATATCGGTGTTGGTAATCGTGTAGCTCGCATTGCAGACCATTGACTCCGCCGGCGCCAGCGTCGCTCCAGGGCAAGGGATAGCTTCGTTCTCGAAGAGAGATCCTGTCACACCTGTAGGTTTCAAAGGCAAAGAGCATTGCGGTGAAAGACGGTAGTGTGGGGAGCAAAATTTCGAGCGGACAGAACGTCCGGGGGAAGCAGACTGTTGCAAGGATATCCAACGCAAAATGACGAGTAATAAAGATAATCTGGGTACACGTCACCCCTAAGGTTGCATCTGTTTCCAAGCACAAGATCACGATCACACAACCGCACGTGACCTAGCTCACAGCTTGTGGGGACAAAGTCGCGTGCGCAGGTGAGGATGTTTCACAGAACTCCTGAAGGACTCTAGTCCACCGAGGTACCTAAGCGGCAATATATCATTTTTCGCTATCCCTCTTTGAAGCGGACAATATCGTCCTTGCTCGAAACTAGCACTCTTGAAATCTCCGTGACAAACTTCGTCTCCTGAGCTGTTCGTATGCTTCAATTCGGGGTAGTTCACTTAGTGATTACTACGACAGAGCACTTTTCGCATGCCCTTTTTCCGAACACATGCAACAAGCACAGGATTGTCCACGTGGATGAACACAGGAAAGCCTCTCACCGACATCCGTCAGTGTTACGGTCCCCGTGTTTGCAATTTCGACGGTGTACTCCATCTTGTCGTGGATATCTGCCTCGTCATCAACCGTTCCAACGTCATGGAATACCCCAACAACATTTAGGAGAGCCATGGCTAGCTGAGTGTATTCCTGCTTCCAGGAATCTTCTGCTTCAACCTGCACGATTTCACGAATCCACACAAGCGTGAGGAACATTGACGGTGGTCACGGAAAATGGGGTACGTAAGCATATCAAACAGTTTTTTTCGATGAGACAGACTGACACAAAGACGATCATCACGGCAGATTTACTCTGTCAAACGTGCAACAACAAGGATGCACGAACCTCGAAATATGTCCGAAGTCTGCACCTAAAAGGAAAATGAGTAGACTCGACATGGACTCAATGCTTGGATGGTTTTACGCTCTACCGTCCTCATACCGCCGTACACGAATACCCATGGCCTTGGTTTTGAAACGTCGACGAAGCCTCAGCAACAAGCAGGAACTTCTACAAAAACCCGTTGAACGGACCATATCAAAACCCGAATGAGGTACCGTATATCGGTCTTGTCATACCTCGGTACCGCTCGTATCTCGGGCAACGCCAGAAATCGACGCCGTGTTCACAACCTCAGCGGCGTCCACGTCCGCCTGTGTTAGTGAGTATGTCGCCCTGCACCCGAACTCGATGCCAGGCAAGAGCTCCCCCAACCCCTGACGTTAGTCGTGCCGTCGGTTGAAGTAGGAGAGTGGTTGAACTAGAGGCGTGTTATGGATTCTGTGAACATCCTACTATGTCAAGCCGGCAAGGCCTAACTCGAGAGTATCAAAGGGAGCATGCCCTTCCCCCATGCGTCCGTGGACGAACAAACGGGGTTTTTATCCGTGATATCAAGGCCAAGCACAGCTAGTATTGCCCTAAACCCCAATTACGACCGAACTGGGGCGTTATATTCATGAGAAGAGACAACGAATGCCGCACGGATTTCGCTACGGTCAGCAACATGCTTCAGATCGTCTGAAAAAGACATCCGAACAAATGTTGGCCCTCTCACATCTGTCGATGTAACCGCTTCGAACCCGCTGTCGCAGGCTAAAGCAGCGATGTGACCCTGCAGGTGGGAGACCCTAACGTTCCCCACTCGAACGTTCCCAATGTTTCGGAATGTGGCCGTATAGAACATTGTCTCTCCCGCATCTCCCAACTCATCGCCATCCTCGTCGTTGAATGCACCAATCTCGGCTGACATAACATATGTAAAAGGGGTCAAAAAGTATCCAAAGGAGAAGCATGAAGATTTTCCTTTGCACGAAGAAGGCATGAAGGCAAGTTCGCCTACGGAATTTACATGTTCAAAGCAGGACAAATGACAGAAATCAACTAAAAAATAAAATAATGGTCTACATTACCGCGCCAACATTCAGCTTCACTCCGTTCCAATCCAGAACTAGGGCAACAAGTCACTTATCACGATAAACCACACCTACGGATAGACCGACGTCTTGCACGAGCTCTTGATGCACGCTATCTTCGCCAAGCACTGCCTGACCGTCGCTTGCCACTCCCCGCGCGAACATCTCACTAGTCAGCGCCCCCCCGTCAATATGGTCCTGAGTCAGCTCCAGCGTGGCCGAGCAGAGCACAATGCCCCCTGGGGCAAGCACTAGGGCTTCCGTAACGGATGGCGTGCAGTCGACGATGGTTCCACTTCTTTCCAGGAGAAGAACTTCCAAAGAAACGCTGGTTTCGGAGACGTGGAAGAGGAAGTATCAGTTATTGCGGCAGCACCTATTCGTACCGTTTGCTCATTTTATCGGGTTTCCAGTTCTTTTCGAAACGAATACGAAGAAAGAGCGAGGGCCTTTACTGAAGCTAACCTGCAAGGGCCTGCACGTTACTGCGTCAGGCGGGATTGCGTCGGATTGCGTCCATCAAACGCCCCAGCGAACCAGGATTCAACGGTGCCGACTTACCTCGTCAGTGAGCCTGTTCCTTTGTTTTCGAGGGTGAACGTGAACCCAAGGTTGTCGCCGGAGTAGGGTAGTTTGGCACCACTCTCAAGGGATGCCGAAGACACTGGTTAGGGGTTGGAATGACGGAAGCCGAAGGGATGTAAGACTTTGCGCCCTGACGATCAATAGTGGCGGTGTTCGAGTACGTTTCCACCGATCCATGGTGCCAACCAATTTCACAAGTGATTGAAACCCAAACCAAACGATCGAGGATCGCGTGTGAATTATTGTTACCGGACCACTTTTCGCATGTTGAAAGCCCCGGTCGGCGCCACGCACGTTCCAGAGGTTTCGGGATACATTATTCTGTTTGGGAGCACCTAGCTCTATCACGAACTGCAGCCTTAAAGTGGATTGCATCTTTGGAAATCATTTGAGGAAAGTTGGTTGGATCATCTCTGTAGTTGTACGTGCACGGACTCTGGGTAATACTTGTTGGTGATTTAGTTTTGATTCGGTGTTACCTTTGCCCAAGTCTACGCGAACGTGACAGCAGTTAATTTCTCACCAACGGAGATGGCAGGGTACAGCAGCCACGAAACTGTGTCGCCGTCTCCCGCCGAAATCATGTTGCTTTCGTCGCTAGTGTTGGCAAATAGCGGAGAAGCCGTGGCCGTAGCAGTATTGATGATGTGGACGCTGTCCACGTTTGCTTGCGTTAGCGTGTGGGTTCCGGTGCAAGAAATCGCCTCGTCCGTGGGGCAGAGTGTGCTAGAGGCTAGGGAATCGACAACAACGGAGACACGACGAAGGATTCGAGGGAGGGAATCAGGGTTATGAACCCCGTACAATAGTTTGTATTTGTTGCTTCAGCATTGGTCGGGAGTCGCTGGGACGTGTGGTCGCCTCATACGCGTGCCCATTGGTGTGTAGTCCCCTCCACAAAACCGGTGACCTTTGAGCGTTGAATGGGAATTTACGCTTTCGATCGTGCGGGGGGGTCATCCAAAGACATTCAGGTGCCATGCGATTCTCCCTCTTCGACATGGAAATTCTTGCCTAACTACATACTTCACACACCAGCAACGACCCACTGCCAACCCACGCGCACATAACCACGACCAGGAGGCCATAGGGTACAACCAGAAAGTATAAGATGTAGGGCCGACAACTGCTGATAACAGAGTGTCACTCGGCGTAGCTTACCTGACCCACAGTCCAAGCCTCCGTCCACAAGTAGTTCGGAAATTTTGACATCAGTCAGGCAGGTGTTGCCTGAGTTGAAAACTTGGGTGGTGTACAAAACTGTATCACCTTTCCGAGTCTTCCCGTCTAATGAATTCACCGTGTGCACACTTGAGAGGACTGTAATTGTGAGGGTGCGGAAGGCGGGGTCAAACACGGGGAGGGCAGTCGGGAGAGACGTCCGGTGACGAACAGGATTGGGCAAACACGTTGTCAATATCGTTGTACTTGCTTGCGAGCGGCGGCAGCAGCATGGTGTGATATTGATGTTGCTGTTGGTGCTAGAGAAAACCGTAGTACAGCAGGCTGTTTCGGCGAAGGAAAAGAAACAGCGATCCTAAACCGACATGCTGCGAAACCATCTGTTGTTAGTCTCTCGCAATCTCGCCTTATACGACTCTGGCAACTGAATAAAGACTCTTGGATCATCACGGAGTCGGCGGGGCAGATAAACCGAAGTACTGTCGGTTCTTGTATACTCACCAACGGAAAGTTGAGGGGTTTGGGAGACGTGTTGTGAGATCCTCGTCTGGCGGAAGATGAGCTCTCCGTCTGGGTCTGTCGCCGTAACAGAAGCTGCACACACGATCTGTCATTACGACCAGCAAGAGAGAACATACCGTACGGACCATGGGTGAGACAATGCACAATGGAACATTGCGGCATCGCAGGCGACTTGAAAAGGACCTCAAAATATGGTAGCCCACAACTATCGGGCACGAACGCAAATGACACAACCCATTCACGGTTGTCTTGGGTGCTTCAAGGAGGAGGCAAGATCGTGTTCTACTCTACCTTTCCAGCATCGATGTCGTCTTGGGTGACAATGTAAGTGCCAGTGCACATCGCTCCCTCGCCAGCGTCGAGCTTCGCTCCAGAGTTCACGTCAGGTTCGCATGTCAACTCCACCTAAGCAGGCCAGGGTTAAAATTCGGTCAGGTTTGGATAGGTAGGTACTACAGCGTGCTTGAGTTTCTAAACCACGGGTCCCTCCAGATGCAATGACCACGGACGGAATGGAGGACTCGAGCACCGGCGTTGAGGGGCTGTTCTGGTCTCAACTTTGCATTCGATTGCCTTTTTCTCGTGTTCACCGTGCTCGGGTTTGCCTTCAAAGAAAGGAACCCAGTGCAAACACTATATATCCCACACTGTCGCTCGAGGTAGGTGCATGTACAATTTAATAAGTACACGACACGTGATCCATTCCACTTTAGAAACCCACCTACCTTCGAATTGACGGGTGTCACCGACGACAGGGTAACGGTCCCGTTGTTGTCAATATTTAGCGTGTAGGTGATCTCATCCCCCAAGGCAGAGGCTGCTCCGATTCCATCCACGGGCAAGTATTCCGAGTTGTGCTCTGTCACATGAAAATCGAAATTTTTACAAGGAAGATGTCGGCAAGTTGTGCCCAGGAAGCACGGGTGTTGCGAGCGCAATCGAGGCCTGGCTAACGCCTTCCATGGCGAAGTGGTTGCTCGGGACGTGGTGCGCAGGATGCCATCAGGCGCTTTCTATTGCCTTCCATAAAAAAATGCAACTGATAGGCCAGAGAACATTGGGGTGCAACGGCACTCACCGATGAGGAAGGCAGACTTTCCCTCTAGCGGAACATGCAGACGGTATTGATCGTCCAAGGGTTCGTCCCCGATGGCCGTCTTAGCCGTAACCCCTATATCGTGATCGACATGACCATCGTTCATGTTCTCCTGGGTCACGTGAACGACCGCTGTGCACGTGAAGGTGTGCCCCTCTAGCGGGCAGAATAGCTCGTCGCCTGGATACATATGCGACAACAATTTGGAGGCGCCAAACAGTTTTCGGGGGTTCTGGTTTTCCCATGAAGCTCAAAAGGACCCAGGCAGTCAGTGAAGTTGGACTTCCTCGACGTAGGTGGGGCGTTGCACAGATTTCCTGGGTCGATCTTCGGGTAGGCAAAATAGAATATTCCATGATGTGGTGCGGACACATGATTAGGGAGCATGCGGCATGGGGGTGACCCGAAGGCATGAACAACATACGCCGTGTTCATGCACCGCTGGCATGTACTGTGGGGATTGATCTTATGAATAAATGCACAGTGATAAACGCCCCAGGGTATGGCCAGGCGATTTGTGAATACCATGAGGTTGAAGTGGAGGCACTGGTGTGTGTTGCAATTGAAAAGAGACGAGCGATGCACCCTCTGTTTTCCTCGAGAGGCGCTACACGCAGTGTCTCAGTGATAAACAACTTCTGTTAATTTTGATCCCTAATCTGAATTCTCGCGGTTAGTTTCCTGTCTCCACCTCTCATACCCGAAAAATCCGTCGAACATGCTAGTGTCCCCGGAGATGGGTTGTCCACGACAACATTGCCCAGGCACGTGTTTCCTGTGTTGGTGACGGTATACGCTAGCGTAACTTCGTCGCCAACGTTGACCACTCCGTCTGCACCATTGTCCACCCCGCCAACAACCTCTGAATCACCGCACATGCCGAGCGGTAGAGAACGCGCAGCGATCGGGACAAACATAGCATTGAACAAATCGAAATGATGATGCACCAGTTGCGTCTCCCTCGAAAAGAGATGCTCATGTATTGCACATATGGCATCTGGGTACACCATGAAATCCTATCAAAGCCAAAGTCTAAACTAGGCATTCGAGGCGGCTTACCGATGTCAATCCCGTCGACCTGTTCCAGACTCTGAGGCTCTGAGGAATTGGACACAGAGATGGGGCCAATGGGGCTGTCAGCCGAAATAGTCGCTTCGCTGCTAACGACTCCGGCATTCACGTCATCCTGGGAAACCTGAGGGTTGAAAAAAGTGTGTGGGTGTTAATTCTCTTCAGGGATCGTGCGCTTTGAAGGCGAGAAGGTCAATCTGTTCGTGCGGTGATAATCCTACGTCCCAGTCACATCGGCCAGCCGGAGGTAATTTCAACCGGAGTAGGCAAATGCAGGGAAGAGCGCAAGTCGAACAGAGCGAGCAACGGATGCTCCTTGAACCAATCAACCAATGGAAGGCAGCCCTTTAGAAAAAGGTTAGAGGGAATTTGCTCCAGCAGGACCGTTTCAAGAACTTCTTCGCACTGACGCGCAAAAGCTTGAACAGAACACGGTGTCAAACGTCGCACACTTACCGGGTAGAAGGCGGAGCACGAAACCTCTGCGCCTGGAGCCAGGCTGAGTCCGAGTAGAGAAGGAGTGCAGACTATTGCGGCATCGGGGTGGCTGAGCAGAGCCGAAACGCCAGGAGCAAGGTGAGTGCAAAGAAGGAAAGCATGCTTTAGTCTTGACACACGTCTGCAGTGGCAATGTCGAACACTTCGATGCCCGTTATCTAAACCATGAGCCAGACGATGCACGGACAAAGGGAGCGATCAACGATTCCGGTGCGAAACGATTGAGCTGCCATTATTTAACCCTATCGCTCCAAGGTACGGTGCTCCGCAGCGATAGCTGGCTCAACGATAGTTAATGCTCTTGCTATATTGAACAACGATGGCGTCGAGAAATTCCCTAACGTTGTACCTCGAGATAACATATTTCGAGGCTAGTCTGTAGGTTCGAAAACGACAAAGAGCGAGGAAGCTGCCACCACAAGCCCCCTTCGAACCAACAATACCGTCGGCAAGCCCTTTCCATTAGCGGCTAGCTCACTTAGTTTCCGCGATCAAAAGGAGCGAGTCGACCACCGACAGGTGTGTCAAGGTGACGGTTCCCGTGTTTACGATAGTCATCTCATGCTCGATCAAATCGCCAGGGCTCGCTCCCCTCTCCCCGTCGCCGTCCTCGAGCGCAGTCGTGATTTCCAATGCTAGCCCCGACGATCGAAGGAGAGTTGTAGAGGCCAAAGCAGTGGCGCTAGTGAAGGCACCCAAGGGGGCGCTTGCGGTCATCCTGGCAAATTGCGAAGGAGAGGAAAGGGGGTGAGATCGGCCATCGAACTCGCGAAATGTCGTTTGGCAGAGCGTGCGCGTCAACCTTTAACGTGCCCAGAGAAGCTCCAATGCGGACCCACACCGGGCCGGCACCAAGTGAAGATATCCTGTGCTGCGGATGGCAAAACCTGCCACAACATTTCCGCACCAGGTTGCTAAGGGAATGGAGACGGCAACGGAGTTAAATGGGCCCCGAAAAGCCTCCTCAATCGATCCTCGACTTACGTGACGTTGCTCGCAACGACCCCTGCATCGATGTCGGCCTGAGTGATGGCTGTAGTAGGGTAGCAGTGGAGCTCAGCCCCGGGTAGCATTCCAAAAGAAGTATCGCTCTCCCAGTTCATGTCGAATCCTCCTGCAGTCGGTCGAGAGCAAGGCCGTCACCAAGGCTGAGCTCAGACTGTTATAGAACAGGTTGCCTACCGCCATCTCAAGAGCTACTTAAGGGCGGGATCTCAGCAGTAATTGTCTAGGATAAGAATGCAGGTTGATGAGCATCGTCGGAGCTACACAACAACGCGTCACTGTCTCGAGGTCGTTCAGAAGTTCAGAAATTTGTACTACGTCATTCGGTCGAAAGCGGACACGGTATTCGTGAGCGAACTTTTTTTTGGCCCCGCAACACTTGTTGTAGTGATCAAAATCGTTGTGAATGTCATATCTGTACGAAACATGTTTCAGAATGACAATCCACATTTCATTGAGTGTAGGCCACAACCAAGTTCTTAGTTTTCAATGTGTCAGCTGTACCACAACGATCTCATACTTTCGCGGCAATCATGGCTGACCTTGAGGGTTCAGGAATCTCTCATCCGTGACGGTGATGTCGGAAAGATCGACGTTGCCGTCGTTGGACGCAGTGATCGTGTAAGCGATGGTGTCGTCCACGGACGCCATACCATCCTCCCTTGCAGGGGTGAAGACGAAGGTTTTGGTGATACCGGCCAAGGGATCCTGCGAACGAACGCGAATTGCAAAGGAAACGGACCAACACGCGCACCATTAGACCAATACTTCAATTCGAAGAGCGTTCACCCACACTAGCGACGAGCGGAAGCTTCTCACGCAGCACAATTCAGGCTTTGCAAATCTGACCTGCTTCAAGGCGACATCCACCACCGTTCCGTCGCTTGTCTCTTCGCTCAAATTCCCTGGTTCATCCTCATACCACGCGGTTACCTGTGCCCCTGCCGACTTCGTACCAGTGTTTATCTGCGCGTTTCGACGAAAGGACGAGGTAAGGCTTAGATGGTACAACGTTTCTGGTAGTTCGACCATCCAAGCAAAGGGGAGATTTCAAAACAGGGAAAACGATCGCCGCAGACAAGATGAGGTAACAGGGCTAGGGAAAACTGCAATTTACCAACAGTGCCGCACTGCAACAAAACATGAGCGCTTCTTTGATGTGTTGCATTTCGGCCGTGCGCCTTCAAGAGTTTTTTGACACTGCAATTGGAAGAAACAATCACCCGGTGCGCTGCAGAACCGAGAAGTATCCATTGATTCCTGCGTATTTTTTCGGAGTTTTGTTGGAGCTTGTTCTCAATTCATCACCCGCCGACCACCTACCACTATATATTTTTCACCCATTGGCGTATGTACCTCGGTTTGACCAACCGCGGACGAGAATGTACAAGTCAGCGAGCTGCCCCCCCGAAGACCGGAGTCCGGGTAACGCGCGAGACCTTGGATTTTCAAGGACTCGTACGTCAGGGTTAGCTGGCCGTCCTCGGTATCTGCTTCATCAGTCATGGAACCTCCATCGACGTCCTCGCACGTCAACGCGCTTGTGATGCCGGCACCGTCTCCCCATGCGGCGACATAGATGTCGAATACTTGCAGCAGACCGGTGTTGGTGACCGTGAGCACATAGGAAACAGCATCAGATGTTGCGGCCGCTTCGAGGGGAGTTGCCGTTTTGGGATATGACGCGGTGATGACGAGCCTAACGGAGCCCTCCTGGTTTCAGCGTAAGGTGCACAACGAACAGAGGAGCCGCAGAAGGAGTGGGAGTAGAATCCCGACCAGCAGTGCAATTTCGATGGGACGTCGTCAGCGACTTGGTTTTCTTGTTTTTCAATCATCGGAAGTGATACCTCTCTTTTGATCCGTTTGGCCAACCACTTGGTAGACTGCGGCCTCATTGGGTGGCTGTTTGGTTGTTGGTCATGTATCAAAGCACCCGAAGAAGCAAGAGGTTCCCCGTAGTATTGAACCCCGGAGGGTGACACAGGCGATTCACATCGAAACAACGTGTTTCAAAGAAGTCCTTTCATTCACCAACGATTCGAGTTCCAAGATATCGTCCCTAGAACGTAGATATGTGTAGCTAGCACGTTCCCAACACTGAGGCATCTCCGACAATCTACCTAAAGAATGGTACTTGAACTTCGAAAACCCATCACATCTCAAAGGTATCTTGTATAAACACACCGCAGGGAGTGACGGAAGAACATTACCAACGTCGAAGTCATCACGCGCTCACGCACGCACCTGATCAAGGGATACGACTGTGGCATCGGCTGCGTCAACCGCGTTTCCGCTGACATCGCTGGCCGTCACCGATGCCGCCGACGAGACCTCGAGCGCGTTGACGTTGTCCTCGGTGATAGCATAGCTCGAATTACACGTGATCACCGCACGCACGGCCAGAGTACCACCAACGGTGATAGAAGAAGCGTTTCTAGACGCTATCGCGGTGTCTCCGCATGTCGTTGTGGACGAAATGCCTGTCGAGGGTGGGGAGGTGCACACTGTTGTTCAATTTGTTTTTGTCTATCCGCCATGTGAAGGGGGCCGTGACTTGGCGATGTCACCATGCCGCCAGAAAAGACAAGCATTCTAAGTTCTGGGATGCAAGCTGCCGCAGAGTGTGGAATGTATGTGTCAGAGTCCATCACATGGGTTCAAATATATGTCATTGGCATCATTCACATTTCCGGTTGTACCAAGAACTCTGCGATTGCCCACCAAACATCTGTTGAGATGAAGTTGCTGCTGTTGTATATCGCCAACATAGTAGTATGCCGTGACTAGGGACATAGGGGAAACACAAACTTCACGTACCTGCATTTGTGCCCCCGTCTGCCAGGGTTATCCCCTCTAAAACTGCATGCCCGTTGTTTGTGATCGTGAAAACGTAGCTGCGTGTAGTATTCAGACAGCATCATCCAGGGGGCACGGTGGCAAAACATTAGAGAATGTAGAGGGCAGGATCAAAGGAGCGGTCAAATCATGGAGCTATACAATATAGACTGTTCCTACAGGAGCAAAACGGTGAAAGGTATGGTTCAGTACAGCGCAAAACAGTACCCACTGTAGCCAGGGCAGAAACAAACATCGACAAATACGACAAAGACCAACAGAAAAAACTACACTACCAAAAACCACGGAGACAACTACAACCGCAACGACGGGCATGCTCAGCGAACAGTCGAGAAGAGAGTCTGATAGCCGATACGTAGCCAGTATTCTTCGAGGCCCTCCGCCCCACCTTATCATCTCCCCCACGTCCGCAAGTCCCTGCATCCCGTCTGCGCTGTCATCGGCGAATGTCCCCACCATATCTGCAGGCGAATCAATGGAAAGTTCGAGTTCACTCAAGCATCCTCGAGAGACCTCGACGATTGATGCGGAGCCGACGCCGGGTCCTTGAAACCGCATCCCGGGAAATGCAAGCTCCACCAAACTTAGTTTGCCACTGCATGTTAGACCCCAACGTTGTTTCCGATATGTGTTTGCAGCGAACGACGCTGTCCCGCGTGTTGTCACGAGACGAAAACCACTGATTCGCAGTGCACCTTGTTTTGAAACCATGAACACATGTGATGCCTACTGTACTACGTAGCCAAACCGAGCTCAATCTCACCGAGTTGGATAGACGGAGGCGGGGGAAGGTCGATGGATACCGTTGTCTGCGAGGGAACAGGAAGCCCCAACGTTGCGTCAACGGAGTGAACCCTGTAGAGGCAGACACCAAATAGATGCAGAAAGTATCACCAGGCGCCCGAGTACGTTCGGAAAACAAGAGCAAGAAAGCGAGAAGGGGCAACAATGTTCTTCATCTGCGCTTGACGGCTCTGCAAATCTTGGCTTTCGAAACGCACAGCCATTTGCCTCGTATGATGGAAAGTTCTTGTGACTACACGTCAAGCGCATGGCATTGAAAGTGTCCTTGATGAATGATAGATACAACCAGCATGCACGATAGAAGAACGTTCACCTTGAAACAGTGGTAAGTCCGCCGGCTTCAATCGCCGCCCAGTTGAGGACAGATAAACCAGAACATCCGGCAGACTGGCCAGGTTCCGAACTCTCCGGCATATCATCGCAGGAGAGGGCCGCCGTGGCATCGGATATTGTCACGTTCGCCAAACGCACATTTCCTGCGTTTGTAACCTTAGCAACCGCAGCAGGAATAACGGAGTGAAATCGCCCTGGTGGGATACTGTTTCAACCAATGATTAGCTTTGCGCAGAGTCTAAACAAACAGCGTGCACAACTCGTTGATTTCGAGCGGGAGGTTGAAGAAGACCTAGCAGCGTTGTGAATGGTAGAGAATTGTGACACTCGCACGACGATCACCCCGAAACCAGTTGGCGCACATTTCCCTACCCATTTGTTTATCAAGAGAATTGCTCCCGACACAACTACGTGTTAAATGCGGGGGAACAACCCACATGACCGTTCAAACATAAAGAGGCCGCAAAATGTTCGCGCATGAATTTCTGCTATTTAGGAATGAGTTCGTCGCTTTTCATGCACACCCCCTCACCGTGTACCGATACACAGCGGTGTCTCCGGCATCCGCGAAGCCGTCGCTCCCATTCCCGGCGTTCGCCCAAGAGCCCACGGTGTCTGGTGGTAGCGTGTGATTGAACGGGTATGCCACATTGGATGCGTCCAATGAAAGAGCCACGCTCAATCTGGGACCTTGAATGGCTACAAGGCTGGGTGATACCAGCACATCCCTTCCACGTCGATACGATCATTCCAGTGTATCTCGTTCTCAGTGCGGATCATCTACAGTAATTTGCTGCAAATTCTGTATTGCATTTGGTGAGGTATCTTGCGGCGGTTGGTGGTCCCGCCGAAGGTTCGTCTTGTCGTACTATTGGCCATCGGTCGAAGGCCACAGTATGTAGAGACCAACCCAAGACTATTGTACAAATAATTAGTGTGGGGAAGACAATGTCAGTGTTGACAAGTACACCGTGGCTCTGTAGTACTGTGTGAATAGAAGCACAGACAACTGATGTTGAACACACGCGTGTGGTCCTCATGACAACAAGCTAGAATGCCAAATTGTGCGCTCTGCGTCTTCCGTCCCTGGTTTAGATGCAAGAGTGTGGCGTTGAAATATTAACCTGTTTCGAAGCTACATGTGTGTTTGGCCTCATGCTATTGTCGCAATTCTCACCCAAACTGATCGCTGGCCGTCGAACAAGGTCCGTCGATACTTCAGAAGTTTTGTTGGTCTTGTCCTTGCTGGGATTGATAGCTGTAACAGTTGCATTACTCACAACGAAGCCTCGGTCAACATCGTCTTGGACAATCTGCGGAGTCATATACGTGTTGGCACGTATTTTGGTTGAGGCGGTCTCTCTACCTCAGAACGTATTGTTCGGGTACCAATCTAGAACGGAACGTCGTAACCTTGCATGTGCGCAGTCGATGGTAGACATCGTCCTCAATAAGCTAGGGAAAGCGAGATTCACATGCGTTCGTGAGAACATGTGTGGCATCGCCTGGCTAAACTTGAAATGCTCGGCTCACCGTGTATTCCGCTTGGCATTCGAAACCCTCGCCAGGAAGCAGAGAATCTGGAATGCCCGACTCGCAAGAAACCCCTTCACTGGTGACGGATCCATCCGTCAAGACAACGGAGTTGAGCGTGACCGTGCCAACGTTGACAACGAGCAACTGGTAGAGTATTACTTCACCGGCGTCGGTGTCTTCGTCGCCGTTGCTATCGACCCATGAGCCACCGCCGACTACAGTTTTGCCTGTTTTTGGCGCGCGAGTTCAATCGAGGTGCAACGTGGGGAAATTTGCGGCAAGGGATGATAACAATACTTTAGTGTTCTCGAGGTTGAAGGACGGAAAGCAGGAGCCGCCTTCAACCCTCCGGGTGCAAGTCCGGGTAGCGACGACCCGAGCGGCCCTTGTGCAACCGATACAAGCAATGCACACTACCAAGCGGTAGCCCACTCGGCGTCGTGCGCGTGAAAAGCGTGACCACGTACCCCTGCTACCGTAGTTGTACGGCAAATTGACTATTGAGATTTCATGTACCTATCTGCTTACCGAGTGAGAGAGATGAGATTCCGTCCACACAAGTGGAGATAGAAACCCCTTCAGAAACCATCGTTGAATCGGATGCCACCGCAGAAACCTGCACGGACGCGAAAACAATGTTGGGCCGTTAGCACATGTCAGCCCGCAGGGAATCTCACCGCCGTCCGGTGTAGACATGTGCCCGCAACAAAGTAGAATTGTTTTTCTTTGCTGTACTATCATACACGGAGCGTTGTTTAGATGATGAGATATCTGTTTTGAAACGATATTTCTTTGCGACCTCCAGAGTGGACGCATTTTGCTCGACCAAGTCCCCCTCCTCGCCTCAAAAGTTGTGAACGTAGCACAGTGCAATTGTTGACAAGAGGGCTCACAGCTCCAGACAGTAAGTTGACAAGACCTGGCTTGGTTTTTACTGAGGAAGGATAAACGACAACTATAAGGCCAAGTTGTTGAAGAGAAGAAACAGGAACAATACCAATGGCGTTGCTGTGCAGTACAATGGAAAAGCTGAGTTATTGTATGCATAGTGCCGAGCACCCTCATTACATACCCAATCATTGCTGGCACAGTACCCAACCAACAGCTCGAATATGTGAAAATCTACGGAAGGAGGACAAACAAGTGGTCTTGACGGGATCCCCAACCGGGTTGACCCATATGCCTGCTTGCATATCTCACATTCGCTGTACTCTCCACACAACGCCCATCGATGTGTATTTGCTCGAGAGTCAATTTCGCTGTGCACTCGAACGTTGCTCCGGGAGAAAACCGAGAGAGGTTCCCGATGTAGCTGTTGCTGCAGTCCAGCCCATCACCGAACATTGGATCCGACACGGCGACGTCACTGAGCCAAGTGTTTCCGGTGTTGGCCACGGTGATACGGTACTCAACAGTGTCTCCCGCGTCCACGACGGACGGATGAAAGCCACTGGCAGACGTGACGTCGATGACGTCCTTCAAGATCTCCACTCCGGGCTTCCGCGGAAGAGGTGTGGTACACGACGCATCATCGACAACCTCCAACGCGGAAGGTGCCGGAGACAACGAAACGACGGATGCTGTATCCGAAATAGAACCGGCATCAATGTCTGCCTGAATTCACAGCAGCACCAATACGGGGAAGTAAACCATTACATCCATCAGTTTCTCTGTTCTGGTACTTGAAAGACTGTCTGCCTCGTGTTTCGCGCATTTTTTTTCCTTTGTGGCAGTTCCGAACCTGAGTGATGGCGTGGTCCAAGACGCTCGAGCAGACGATTGTGTCGTCTCGTGCCAGCTCCGAGAGAGAAGAAGCGCCACAAGCCACGTTATCCTGCACACGTACATAACGTGCCGGGTGTGGAGAAAGATGCGAGATGCACTGCATCAGGATAGAGCAGTGAGCAAGGAGGCATCCCGCTCCCGGCCAAGCCCGTCCCTTGGCTTACAAGCGTGAGCGGATGGACTCAGCCAGTACGCGCTTATAAAACGGAAAACTAGTATCCGAGCGATTCTGCTATATACGGTGCACTACGAGCGTGGGTATTGTCCATTCCGGATCCGACGTCCTGCTGAGTTGGGGGCACATGTAGAACACTCACCAGGGCTTGGTCGAGGAACACGCTGTTTACGTCAAGTCCGGTGAGAGTCGTCGATCCCGTGTTCTTCATCGTGAAGGTATAGGCTACGCCTTGTCCCACCTCGGCGCGGTTGGCATCGCTTCCGGTGAAAGAACAGGTCTCAACTGCTCAATCGAATGCGAAAAGTTGGATCAAAGAGCATGCTCTTGGTGAGCAATTCTTCTCGGGCATGCAGCAAGCCAAAACAATTACCGACGTTTATGGGGCGAAAAAATGTCGCCAGTACAGATAGAGCGAACCATCGGAGGGTTACTGCCAGCAATTCATCGCCGGCTGAATGCCCGAGGTTTCGCTGGACACCAAGATGGAAGCACGTAAAGCGTACAAGCAAATGGACCTTGTATATGGAATCCGACCTGGTACCAGAATTCTGCCCTTACCAAGGCTGATCTCAGGACGACGAGGCAGTGAAAGAAGTGAGCCGCCCGGTTCCTCTACAGCAGTTCCATCCGGTTCTACGGCATTCACAATAGCCGTGTTGGACACATGTCCTAGGTCGATATCGCCCTGATTGATCTGTTGGTTTGAAAAAAAAGGCGCGAATGCTCATGTGGACTGGATATGACTGGTAAGCCCTTGGTTCACTTGGCCCTGTGGTAAAACACGTATTTGGATAAGCTGAACTTGTTGTTTCGCAGACAAATGGTTCAAACCTTTGTAGCTGCAACTGATGGATTCAATTGGGGTAGAAAGCAATATCAGTTCCGGGTGCAGTACCAGAGGACTCCGCACAAGTACCCATATTGTAGGTGCTTCGTGACCATGAAGACCAACGGGAGGAATGCTCATTGGACTACAGTAGTTTACTTCGTTTCAGCTCTCGACACGACTGCCATAAACTTCAAGGATTGTCTCCCACATACCATGGTATTGCTTTTATTATTTCTTGCCCTACCTGGTAGGTGCCGGTGCACGTTATGCTCGATTTTGGTGCTAGGTATCCTCCTGCGGGTGACTCGCCACAGTCCAATGATTCTCCGAGAAGACCGTCTGAAACCTGCAAACCGCTCATCGTAATGGTGCCCGTGTTCTGGACGAAAATGACGTACTCGATGCCCTCCCCAGGGTCGCAGTCACCGTCCCCGTCGTTGTCGATCCATGAATCCCCGTTGACGCTCAAACCTCGTGAAAACAAGATATTGGTCGTTTCTTAAAATACTGGAGGGTCAAGCCTTTCGACAAGATTGGTGGTATAGCTGCATCTCTGAAACTTGATATTATTTGCGTCCACTTGTCCGACCTCTCGCACCTAGTTGTAGACAATACAGCTACATGCAAAGATGCGGCACGTGCTTACACGGGGTAAAACACAGTATTGCGCCATGAAAGTTTGTAAAGTACACGTTGCGAGATGGCCGCCCTTCCTTTCACGGGAGTGGCGACCCCACATTCGTTTTGGAAACGACATCATTGTAATTTCGTGCCTATCACGCTTGGCATCTCACTCACCTACTAATAGGGACGAACTCGTGGGCAGCTCCACTGTCGATGACAAGTCATCTTCAACCAGTTCGTTTGCGGAATCTGTTGCTGTGATCGTCACAGTCGTCACCACCTTTGATAAAGAATATAAGCACGAAGTAGAAAGTGGCGAAGCAGAGAACTCTTTTATGAAGCAGCCAGAGTGGCGTTTGCGACAAATAACGCGGCTTTTTATGCGAACAGGCTGGGATTCTGCAGTCTCAGGTCACCATCCCTTGAAGCTACTTGTTACGGGCGGCCGGGATAGTAGCGCGACTTGTTTCCCTACGTTCTCGATGTGTGATCAGGTGCAAATACATGGGTTCTCCAGATACACGCTGACCGACTCGTAACTCCAACGCGCGAAGGCAACGATTAAACGGCAGATATTCTCAAACACACTTAAGATACATTTCACTTGGGTCAAACATCGAGGGGGTCCCCGTCACCTGGGCTTCGTCGAGGTTGTTTTGGGTGAGAACAAGGCGGCCCACACACTTTGTCTCTACGCCAGGGACTAGCGCTGCCCCTTCTGCTAACTCGCAGGCCCATGCGAGTGCCTGTCCAATCGATAACGGCAGTTGTTCGTTGTCAAGGAAAACATCAGACGATGGTGTGTAGTTTTGAGCTATCACTAAATCTTGCCTGTGGTTGAACTGCAGTTTTACTACTGTCCGGCACAGCACACAAGATGCGCTCCGTAACGCTCGATGGAAGTACAGCAAAATCGTATGTATGAGAGTGTTTTTGGCTTGTCTCGACCATGAGAAATGCATATAGACTACACTAGAATCCAAGGGAGGCGTTCCATCGGCTTGAGCCGGCCAGTATTGTCACGACGATGGAAAATATAGCATGGTCGACAGCGCAACGTGCATCCCAACCACGAACAGCAGTCTAACGTCATTTAATGCAAACTAGCGCTCACTCCCAATTCAAACATGAAATGTCCTGCCGTCTTGGCCGGCCACAACCTTACGAGACACCCAGGCAAGATAATAACCGGCAGGGGAAACTTGCCTGCGGCGAATCTGGCGTCACGTCGTGAAGGGTCAAGGAACCGTCGTTCGTGATAGTGATGGTGTACACGACGGCATCCCCGGGCGAGGGATATCCTTCAAGATCCTCAGGGCTCAGTACCACCTCCATATCTGTAGAATACGTGGAGTTGCATCGTTAGTACTGTAGGCGGAAGTTGTCTCAACGTTTGCGAAAAACTTGTTATCATCAAATACCTGGGTCACACGTGGTGGGCACGTTGCCGTGGGCAGCATTCCTGATCCCTCGAACATGACGATACAGCACTTGCCGATGTGACTGGCCGTATTTTTGAAACATGGAGAGACACAGTGCTTGCATTTTTTAGACAGAATGGGAAATCTAGCCGCCTACAAGCAAAATTAGTGCTCTCAAGATACTGTAACAAGACTTCCACTCGAAGACCGACGTTCATTGTTTTGGTAAGAAAGTACTACTTGCCTAGCCCGACCGATGAAGATCCGTTCAGAGCAACAACGGATGGTTCAGAGACCGTGAAGCTTTCGCCTTCTGGTGATACCGCAGTGACGATTACGTTTCCGCTGAAGCCGCCAACGTCCATGTCGTTTTGAGTGATCGTCAGGCTCTGCGTACAGGTGAAGACAGACTCCGCCGGGCAGAACAAAGCCTCACCTTCGGAAGGATGAGATCACGGCACCCGCGGAGAGGGGGATTTGTTGGGTAGTCACAGAATACGTCGTGTAGGAGATATGCTACAGGAGCGACCATCACAAGCCCAATTCCTGTGAGAAGGTCCTGACGAACCCTTTGCATCATTTCTCTCAAGTATGTCAAGTGCGCTCTTCTTGAGGATGAGGGCAAGACAAGGTCACGCCATTATCTGCATACGAGCACCGCCAATATTTTAGTTGATGGGATTCACGCAACCCGGCGGATGTGGGATGAGTCAGGATGCATCTTGAATCACCAACCTCTCTGGCCTCTTCTATTTCCCCTAGTAAGCTCCATACACCTGCAGGGGCCCATTTCACTCAACAACCTCGAGTGCCATATATATGGTACTAGAGGTATGTGCTTCAAGTAAGTCCCCCCTGCACAGCGCTAAACGTTTCAGTTGCCCCCTCGCACAGAATGCACCGGGAGCCGTGTAGACGAGTAACCTACACAAAGGGTTCACGAGTGTGTTTCAGTAACATGTCCTCACCCGCCATGTTCGCCACGAAGGCGCAATTCACGTCACCGGCGTTGTCGTCGAGGACACTTAGTACGGCCAGACAGGTTTGGCCGGTGTTTGTAACTGTAAAAGAATACAACACGGTGTCTCCCGCGTTCACGACACCGTCTGTGCCTGCGTGGACTGTTCCCGACTTGACTGCGGTTATCATTTGCGCAGGGTGTGGTACGGTATGGCCGGATATTTGCAAGACAGATGTTAGCATGGCGCAGTGTCGTGAAAGAAAAACGTTTGAATCGAACGGTAACTGCTCGTAAAGCAGGCATTTTTCCACGCGGTGTCCATACAATGCCAAGCACAACCGGTTACGTGCATGCATTGCAGGGGTGTGTGTCAAAGGAATTCGCGTGAGTAGCCTCATTTTCGATACCTTTCCAGGTAGTTGGGGCTATAGTTGGCGTGCTATGGCTTCAAATATTCTTTCTGTAAATGGTCACCCTGCTGTATTGTACCTTACAGTATTTCTTCGTGGTTGGGCATCCTTCCCTATCGATCATTGTCTGCCCCACCTTGTGCTTTGTTCGGGTATTGTACCAAGTCGGCCACATGAGAGATGCTTACCGACGGCAAGCGACGACTCTCGCTCAATTTCGACGTCCTCTTCTATCCGAGCTGTCGTGTCTCCAACGGGGCTGGTGGCGCTAACGACGACAGAGTTCGTCACGACGCCGGCGTCCAGGTTGTCTTGGTCCATCTGAGGCAATCACGATAGTGATTATGGTATTTCTATTGGTTGTTCAAATGAAGCATCAGCCACAAAGGTTTAGGGAAGGGTAGGTGCTATCCTTCTGTTCGCGAACCCTACTCTACTCAATGCATGCCATTTGCACAAGTGCGAAGAAGTAAATGTTGCTATAGAGTATCCGGAAAATCGTCGATGATCGGAGCGAAGATCGTCACATCGAAACCGACGTCAATACGTTCGACTCGCCTGATAGGTTGACGTACACTCCGTCTTGCCGCCAGGGCCAAGTTCCAGCGATTCCAGTGGCGGAGAGCAAACAACGGGACCGACAAATCCGGAATCTATCACAATGCTCCACACCGTGGTAGTGCCGTTGTTCTCGATGTCGAAAACGTAAGAGATCATGTCACCAGAGGACGGGCCGTTTGTGTCGTCGGAATCGACGTACGTGCCGTTAGCCTGGCACGAGAGTGACGCCTCGCGGATGAATGTCACCGTCGTGTTTGCCGAGCCTTGAACCGGGGTAGACAGCGTGGTCAAGGCAGTCGCTCTGCGAAAAAGAACATTTAGGACCATGAACGAAGATTGGGAAAGGGCATCACCTCGTCGACAATCGGCACCTCATTGTTCCGGACAGATCATCGAACAGCACAAGCATCATGCGAGAGTCGGGAACGCTCTCGGTGTCCAAGTCGCTCCTTCAAACATACCTCGCTGTGCTCCCCATGCTTCCAGCGTCGACGTTACTTTGCAAGATGATCACTTGGGGCGAGCACGAGAAAGAATCGCCGACCACCAAAGTCGAGAGAGCGCCGTCGTTGCAAGCAAGGTCGTATCCGCCTGGGAAACGGTTGCCGCACACAGGCCCCAAGGGACCAAGGTGACGCAGCCTGGTCGTCAGGAAACTACGCAAGATAGGAAAAGCTTATGGATTCGGACGTGGGTTTCGTTCTCCCACAACGTACAACGTTGATTCAAATTGCTTGTAGGACAAGAGAGATACATCTACAGCAGAGTGTTGAAACATATTGTATCGTCAGCACCACAAACGGGGCCAACACCGGGCTTCGATATCTTCACTTCTCCCTCAACAGGACCAGTAGGCCTCTATGCTGCGTCAGCATAAAAAGCCCAAAATACTGTTTGTCATTTTCTCGATGCTGTGGCGTTCTGGGCTGCGCACTTCGATTCTCCCCCACAATACCCAAAACTCGACTCTTCTCTCATTTTCGTGTAGGGGTTCGAGTCCTCTTGTGAAAGTGGGCAATTTCACGCTGAGCATCGCCGGGTAGACGCCAGAGTATTGAAATAAGGAAGAACAGCACAGAACAGTGTATACTTGACGGAAAGCTCGCCGTGTCCACGACTAGTTGAACGTACCGTGATCTCCATCAAGGCGACGAAAATTCGAAATCCTTCCGTTGATACGTACAGATCCTGGAACAAAACACCCTTCGTTGCTACAGATCTCTCACCTCCGTCATTCTGGAACATAGCATCGGTCAAGGCCACATCCACAAGGTCCACGTTGCCATCGTTCTTCACGGTAATGTTGAAATCGACCATCCCACCAACGCCCGACTCGCCCATTAGGCTGAAGGTCTTTTCTACTCCGAGCACAGGGGCCTGCGATGATTTGGCGCAGAAGCGCAGAAGTTAGTGCTGTCGTTTGGAGGTTTACAAACCAGCGCTTTCGAACTTGCACGAAAGGTTAGCTTCAAAGAGCCGACCTACGGACGACTAGAGCAACCCCCACCGGTGTATCCTTTACGATTAGGGTTAGTGCAGCGCGGTGGTGAATATTCGTGGGTAATCGAGGAACACCTGGTTCTGCTTGCCGGCATTGTTTCCTCTCCTCAAAGGAGCTGGGAATACTGAACCCCACGATGCATCCCGCAACGTTGTTTCCTACTGACGGTTTGGAGGCCTGTGTAAGACAAGCACGATATTTCTCGGTGTGTGACGCAGCACCTCCAAATCAAGGGAATGTTCATGAAGACGGAGATACGACACCAGTATTCGCTAACATGTCAAGAAGTACCTGGCGGAGAGTCACGTGGGTTTCCGCGGAGGCCGACGTCGTCTCGCTCAAAACATTGGCGTCCCCTTCGTACATCGCTGTCGTCCTAACGTCGACTGGCAAGTCACGCACGTTTATCTGGGGAAGAGAGAAGAGAGAAAAAACGACGAGAGGAAGCAAATCAAGCTTTAGATTTTCGTACAGTACCGCCATTCTCGTCGCAAGTATTGCCGTGATGCCCTGGTGTACAGTAAATCGCGTACTTCTTTTGTAGAACGTGCGGCATGCTTCAAACATAGGGCGGAAGACACGATCCACCACTACACGCGTTCCAAACACCCACTTCAGTTCTGCAGGTAACCGTCACCTCGAGATCACAGAAAGGCTCATATCTCCTTGTCGATAGCTGTCATAAGCAGCGTAGAGTGTAACCCATGTGCATCAAGTGCCGTATTGTGACAAGCACACAGGTCCTGTTTGGCGCAATTCACGGCTCGTTCTCTTGGTATTGGTCACTCACGTTCTCTCTACATCGTCCACGGCGGGTTGCCATCAGAGGCAACACATTTCCTTCCTACGGTACATTGCCGGGGGCTGGAGGCGATCGGCTCTTGCGGCTAATTCCTTCCGTGGGGCGCGGAAACATGCTTCATGCGCTTGTTTCATACAGGTTACTGTGAGGATTCTCAGCGCACCTCCGATTGCAAAATTTCCACGCTTGCAGTACACTCAATGGACCGACCCGGGACCAGCCCGCCTTCCGGGTAGGGCATCATACCACCCACTCCTCCGGCCAACGAGCCGACGACGGTGGGGTTGCTAGCCGTATCAAGGCCGCAGGAGATGGTGGAGGCCCGGTCTTCGAGGTAGACGCTGTGCACGTTGATGTCGAACAAGGTAAGCAGCCCCGCGTTCTTGACGGTGAAGGAGAAGTCGACCACGTCGCCGACGGTAGCGGCCGAAGTGCTGTCGGCGTAGGTGAATGCCGCCTTCGCGGCCACCGATCCGACCTGTGTAGGGCGAGCCAGGGAGAGGTTCAATCAACGTAGCGTCCAGGATGTTCTTTCGTCGTTCGATTTGAACGTGAAGGCATGTCATTTTTCTTCCACTGTATTCTGCTTAGGCCAAGTAGCTGCAGTTCGTCGCCTCCGCGCTGCAAACGGCAGCTGGACCTTGCCGTCGTGCCACGGTCCACCGCAACAGATTAGAGTACCATAGAATATGTTGAATAAAGAGGCTTCATGGCGATTGATGCCTAGTCTAGCAGTTTCCAATACGCCGTCAGTTTGTTACCATCTAATCTGGCGCCATCCTCTGTGCTGCATCTCCGCACCCATTGATGTACTCTACTAACCAATGAACGATTGTGGTTAAGATGTGGGGGGCAACCATCCCAAGGGGCTGAGACCGCCGCCATATGCCGTCCGGTGGTCGCTGCCAGAATATACCATGGCACCCAACTTCAAAACCATCTCTCAATCAATGACTTCGAGGGTGATCATTTGTTTCGCCGCCATTCAGAAAACTTCGCACCTGTTCGAGTGATGTCGTTGCCGTCGCTTCATCCGTTACCTCCTTGCCGAACTTGTCGGCGGCGGACACTGAGACAGTGCTCACGGTCTCCAGGGCGTCGACATCATCCGGCGTCAGTACGTACGTGCCCCGGCAGACTATCGATTCCCCGACGGCGACGTCACTTGCCAGGAGAACCTTGCCCGCCGCAGCAAGGGCTTCGTTTTCCTCTTGGGTGGTGGCGTCCGAGAAAGGGACATCACACGTAAAGGCGCCTGCATCGCCTGCATGAAACACCGAGTTGGGGCGCGAGTCAATGACGTGATGCGGGGTGTGGAGACAAAGATGGGACGATAGCATTCTGATACAATGTTGGGATCTTGTATTGTTGTTTTGCTGTGAGTGTTGGCTTGGCAACTTTGAATGTCAAGACACATTCCGACCTCACCATACCAGAAGCCAAGTGCTGTGCTTTTGATTTTCGACGTAACGTGCGACTTAAATGGTTCGATTTCAGTCTTAAAAAAATAATTAAAAGCAGAATGGGTGAAATTCGCCATGAGCTGACCTGAGATGGCGGCTTGGATGTAAACCGAGCTGAGTACGGCATGCCCATCATTCTCCAACACAATCTCGTAGCTGTAGGGAAATCGACAGAGCGAACACACGTGAGATAGGGCACATGATCCTGGTCCGAAAGAGTCGATTTCAAGCGGCAGTCACCGTCATCCGCAAGAACAAATGTCCTTAGCCGGCAGTTCTCAGCCAGTTCGAGTTGGGGTGAAGCGTTCCTAACATATCGAAACAACCGCAGGATGGTGTGTATCGCAGACAACACCAATCTCCCAAAGGGACATCATGTAGCTTACGAAATGCCTCCACTACAGGTAAAATTCGAACAATATTGCGTCTTACGTTCCTTACCTGATGGTCTCTCCTACATCGGCTAGGGAGTTGGCGTTGTCACCTCCGCCATCCACGAAGTCGCTGGTGACACCTGTTGGGGTTTCATGCAATGAATGAAGAACCAACGCTTTGGTGAACGCAGATTATATTGGCAATGCGTTTTGGGACGATGCCATTGTCAAGACATCTAGCTGCCTTCTGTGTGGCCAATGACGAAACAAGAAACCCGTATGCGGCAGCATCAGCCAAAGGCTGCTTGGTATTTTCCTGCCTTCCCAGAGAACCAGCTCACCGATGTCAATTGAAGGCGGCGGTAAGAGCACGACCGTGCTGATTTGGTTTACTTCGAGCTCGCCAACACCGAAGCGTAGATTGATGTCAGCCGCGGTTGCCCTGGACAGGAATAGCCGATCGCCACAAGCAAGACAACGCAATAGCAGGTGAGCTCTTTCCGGTTGAGAGGCTTTAGCGATCACATCGTACACGAATTAAAGCCGTCGGGACTTGTGACGGTCAGCTCCAATAGCGAGGATAGAATAACATCCCCCAACATCAGATACCCACCAACGGCCCACCGAAACGGCGCACTTGCTTCAACAAACCCAGGGAGCATTGTTTAGCCTGGACAAGAGATGGTATCTTACGTGGCACTAGTGTTTAAGCCCCCCGCCTCGATGTCGGCCCATCCCAAGGTTAGCACGCGTTTGCACTCGTATGCATCATCCGCGGGGTAGAAAAAGGACGGGTGTTCGCAAGGCAGCAGCACTCCTTCGTGGAAAAGTTCCATGTTGGTCACTCGAACGTTTCCACTGTTGGCGATCTGGAAAAATGGTAGAGCGGACCGAAGCGTCAAATACAGTATCCACTTGGAGACACACGTTGTGCAGAGCAACGGGCAAAATGTGGTTCGTTGCATCGTCAAGGTTCAAGAACCATGGCATAAATCGACCGCTGTATCACCGTAAATGAAGAACCCATTTCCACGCGTGTGATCCACCGAAATTAAAACTGGTGGCCCTTGCAGTACAGTATCCAAACCTCGTTGTATGTGGGTGCATCTTACCGTGAACGTGTAAGAGATAGTGTCACCCTCGTCGGCGTACCCATCCACGAGCCCGCCCACACCGCTGCCATCGGCCCACACCGCATTCATACCTGAAGGCCACAACAAATCGGGGAAACACACCGCGCGTTCGGAAACGATCCGTGACGACGTTCTCCACAGTTGTAAATTCGGTTTGAAATCTACGCATGAGATCGCTGTGCGATTTGTGGCCACAAACCAGAGCAGCAGCAGCAAGGGTAGATATGCACCCAAACACAAGCGGATTCGCTCCACCATTTCCCTATACCAAACGGCTATGGCAGTGTTGGTTACCGAGGCTGATTCCGGGAAGGCGAGTCATAGAAGTTTCCTCATGGGAACCGGTGGCGTTGGTCACTTCTCCCATCGGGTTCTCAGTCTGCACGTTCGCGATGGTGACGACTGCGCCTTGGTCGATGTCGTGCTGCGTCAACTGAAAACAATCAGGATTTCGGCATCAGCATCGGGACACCAAGATAGAGAGCGTGAGATCATCCGCAGAGACTACCCTCAACTTCCGCAAGTGTTGAACGAGCATTTCGGACATGAGCATTCAAGCTTTCAGTGTAGATATCTGTATACTTACGTAATCAATAGACTAGCCTCGGTCGATACCTGCCAAAATGTACAAACGTCTCCATCCCCGCGTCATTCTTCGTTCACCTCGTATTCCGCAGAGCACGTGACCGTCACACCCGGGGCGATCCCACTTTCGGGGAAAGTTGGGCATTCAATGCTTTCCGCTCCGATCGTGTCCGATTCCACCTTCAAGTTGTACAGCGACACGCTCCCCGTGTTTGTGATGATGAGACTGTACGAAATAATTTCGCGTGGGTCAGCGTCGCCGTCTCCGTTGCCGTCCGTCCACTTTCCAGATGGAACAGTGATGCCTGCCAGTAATTGCCGAGGGGGCAGAGTAGATGGCATTGTCAGCGTATTTTGCATATATTTTGGGTCTCGCACGTTGTTCTTATAGCGTGTCAAAGCCCCCGGCCTTGATTACCGTTTTCAGACTTGTTGTGAAGTACAAGAAGCTCCTGCCAGAAATGTTTGTGCAGGTTTGCGCACAAAGGTAATGACATTGGGACCGATAGTGCCAAAGAGTTGCTGTTGGCGGGGTTTGGTGTCGCACCATGTGACCAATGCATAGTCGCGTCGTAATCGGCCCGCGCACCTTGGAACGAAGGCGCCACTTGGTGCTAACAAGATAATTTCCAGACAGACCAAAAGAGTGCCACAGCGGCCTGGTTACGCTCAGGCACACAGTGCCTAAAGACCCTCTTTCCAAGAAATCTACATTGCGGTTGCACTACTCCTCACCCAGCGTTATGCGTGGATCTCGTGGAAGATCCGTCCGCAAGGTCGAACTGGCTTCGACCGTGTCCGTAGATATGGGTGGAATGGCCGTAACCTGGGTTGAACGAGAGACCACATGAGCCACACGAGCCAGACTCTTGCTCTAAACGCTAGTACAGCCTATTCGCTAGGACAGGTAATACATTTGGTGACTTGAATAGAACTAAAAAGGAGAACATGACGCACGTAAACAGTTGTATCCAAACAGAGTGACTGGGCCACCTGAAAGGACCAGGTTATTGAGAGCCTCGAGTATGTAGCATAGTTTGTGCGTTCGGATTTCAGAATATTTGTCAGGATGCTCCTCACAATTGCCTGTTTTCGCAAGATCACATTCAACTTTAGTCCCGCTCATCCTCGGTGACCACATCAGCCCCAACAACATCCCCACCCTATTTTCGCGCAGTTAGACTGCCTTGAAAGTGCGAAATCCACGGCCACAGGGAGCATCCAACACGAAAGTGACACACGTATCCGTGGGGGATGGTTTTGTCGTGGGGGAGACCCCTTGTGGGACAACACTAGATTATTCCCATTGTTGCTGACGTACCGTACTCTCGCTTTCCATGAAACCGTCGTCCACCATAGCCTGGTCCACAGGCACAGTTGCGGTGCATACCACTGCCGCCGCGCCAACCGCAAAGCGAGAGTCCGAGGCGGACAAGTCGGGCGAGCACGCGATACCCTCCAGGAATGGGTCGAGAACGACGATAGCGCTGACCCAAGTGTTTCCAACATTTTCAACACTCATTGTAAAGTTCATCGTGTCTCCCGCGTCGACGATGGTTTGGTCTCGTCCAAGGGCAACGGTGTGTGTCGACAACGTCTTTGTGATGGATACACCCGGGGCTTGGGGCAGTGGCACCGTCGAATGCGATGAAGACGTAACGGGTTCTGCATTAGCCCCTGGAGGCATTGCTTTTACGACGACAGCGCTAGTGGATTCACCGGAATCGATATCAGCCTGTCAACGGGCGTGCGGACGGGATTGGAATCTTGGTTAAGTTCGTTGTTGAGTCAGGAGCAACTCTTCAACTCTTCAACTCCGCATTTGGTTCCCAAACCAAGACTTAAACGTTGCACCTGATGCTTCCGGTCCGTAGGAATGTATACCAGGGATGCACCCGTCTTTTCCAATGCAGACACCTAAAATATTTCGGTGTCACTTCCGTCTGCATCCGTATCTGCATGCAACCAACTATTAATAGTCGCTCGGCTCCAGTCTGAACCGTGACATGTGTCTCCTCAGTGCTCCGTTTATCGCCACGATGCTCAAAAGCCGATCTATCATTAGTGACTGCAAGGCGAACATCAATCTGAATCCTGTTTTTGAGCTCCACTCTTCTGCATGACGAACACGCAGAGAAGAGATTTGTGAATTATTGAAGGGCATCAAGCGCCCCACGAATGTAACCCCGCGCGAGACCACATTATTTCCGCCCTACCTGGCGTACGAGGAAGGCAGTTAAAGCTTGACAGTTGATGCTCGCCCCGGGTGATATGGACGCAAGGGATGCGTTGCAACTGAGTTCAGCATCCGAATCCGTGGTCGGCACCTTCGTGAAGTACGTTGGCAAAAGGCAAAATGGGTGGGAAACGTGTTGGGTGAGCCAGAATAGTTGCACGAATGAGATTATGACCCTGGAGCATGCCCTGTTGCAGCCTTATTGTCCTATAGCAACATTTTTTCATTCCATCACGTCTGAGTTGCTGTCAACCCATTCAGAGAGTTCTCGAACGAAGCGCCAGGTGGGGGGGTCTGAAAGTTCCAATCCCCTGTTCGTATGAACGGCTTCCATCAAGGTTGGATACCTCTCGAAGGTGACGTAACCGAACGGGTTCATACAGGATGCCCTCACCATACTGTCGACAATCTGGATGTCCGACATAGTTGTCGTGCCGTTGTTGTGGACATCGTACGAGTACATCACTTCGTCGTCGACGCTGGCTCGATCGGCGTTACCCATATATTTGGAAGTCTTGCCTGCGCGATTCGTATTAAGCAATGTTCGGTTCAAAATTTCCAATGGTATGCTCTACTATTTAACGCCGAATGAATACGCACTGAAAGTTTGGCGCGTGAAAATAGCATGCGTTTCCTCCCTACATGGCACGGGTACCTTCAGCGTGCACTATGGTGTTTGCAAATGATTCAACCACACAGCTTGCGACGGTAGGCCCTTGGCCGTCTTAGGGGTAGTGACCGTTTCAAAAAGCGAAGGCCCCGGAATCTCAACACGAATTTTGAATGCTCAGCCAGACGGCCATGTCAGACGTCTGACAATGATCTAAACCCGAACTCACCGATTGCTATGCCGAACGTCCGGCCCAGTGGAACTCTGCTTGATGCAAATGCGCTTACAGACACATCCTGCGGGCTCATCGACTCCACTATCGCGTTGTTGATGATTTCTCCATTGTCGACATCATCCTGGTCGATCTGCAGAAACGGCCAATACGTAGCGATATCACCGACGACGAGGTTGATCGAGGTGTTTGAAGAGGGTGGCGTGTGTTTGTGTGTATCCTTTTCCATTGCTCAGAGCAAGCGGTGTTGCAGGCAACAACGTCAGGTTGCCATTTGAGAAAAAGCGAAAGCCTAGGTTGCCGCGGCTTCTGTCTCCCCTTCTCGATCGAGGGTATCGTGATCCTACGATTAGGAGCAACAGGTCACTTATAGGTTGCGGGCGGAGCCAGTCGAGGGCGGCTGGTAAAAAATAACAGGAAAGCTACTTCGTCAAACATACAGATACAGAATAAAATGCAGTTTATTGGTGTGACAGTTTGGGATTGTAGTTTCATGAATTGTTAGGAAACTTGGGGCCACCAGGGGAAATCAGAAAGCAAGCAGCGGTGCAGCAAGTTGAGAACGAACGGAAGCTACAGCGCGTGTGAAGAGAAGGGAGGACAGTAGCGGTCGTCCAACGTAGACGGGGGCAGTATAAAAACAAGTTTGGTTTGTACTCACTCCCACCCGTCCATGGAATACAGCATGGTCCACTGTAACCGCTAATCTTCACGTTGTTGCTTCCATCAGCAACACCAGCTTCATACAGATTCTCACCAGGTACGTGTTATCGAAGCACGGGAACGATTCCCCTGGGGAAAGGCTCAGCTCGGAGCACACTACACCGTCAATGACAGTGTCAGCGACGGTGAGGTTGGTCAGTGTCACGGTCCCATTGTTGACGACGCTGTAGGAATATTGGACCTGCTCGAGCGGTCTGGCAATTCTGTCTTCTCCGTCCCCGTCTTCCCGCGTACCGCTCGTTTCTGAGGCGTGAATCGAAATTGGACAACACGAGTAAGTCGTCTTAAGAACCATTTATAACGACGTCTACCTCGCTCGTGATGATCAATGCTGTCACGACATTCACCGTCACACACGACCCGAGCGGGTATGTACAAATTAGCAGCGGCTGTGTTGCCACGAAACATGTGCCCCACCAAAGGAGTTTGATATACTGTATATACAGTTATTTTCTGCTGAAAGCAAAGCAAAACAGTGGCCACATGAGGTCTTCCGAGATGCGTCGCGTCTCTTACCTATGCTGACTGACGGTCTCTGGAGGAGATCTTGGCGCGCACTATTCACAGCATCCACCTGACCGAGAGGGCTGTCAGCCTTTACGGTTGCGTCCGTCACCACCTGACCACGCGTTTGCCGCGTGCGTGTCGAGACTCAGCATACAACATGCAATGTTGTAAGTGTGTGCCTCTTAGAATATTTCCAGTAAAAAAAACGGTCAACCAATTTGTGTTTTTTCAAAAATCATTAAAACCAAGTAAAAAAAGGCGCCTAGAGTTGGAAATGCGAACATTTGGCTGGATCTCACGAACTACATCCAGACACGGAGTACACACAAGTGGACTAGACTGCGGTCTCGACTCTATGTCTGGAAGGTGGATGTTGAGAATGTTAGCCGCTGTCAACGGCTCCCTCGAAAACCGGACTTTGAACAAGGGTGTTCAACACTCGTGAAACAAGCTGAGGCGGACCATAATTCAACCTGACCATTTCGAAGTTCTCAGCCTTACTCACAAATCCAGAGTCGATGTCCCCCTGGGTTACGATGTAGTGCCCGACGCAGTTCAAAGTCTCGTCCAGCGCTAGCGTCTTCTCTCCTTCATCTTCATCACGTTCACATGAAATTGCAGATACCTGTACGCAACAAGTCAGTCCACCCCAGAACGCGCGCCGACGGTGTGAGTGCGGGTCCCAAGCATGCCGCTTCTGCAATCTGCACGTGACCAAGAATCCCACTTTGTTCAACATTGTATTCTAAGAGCATCGCAGAAGTCTGGAGACACATTCACGGTATGAGGTGACCGCCCTTGCTAGCAAGGTAAAGGTGGAATCCAATGCCTGCATGTAGTTTCAGCAATCGCCACGTCGAGTGCGAAACGGGGCCGGGAGGGGTCAGTTTGCACACATCTCACCACGGGAGAAATAACCTCGATCGACCACAACGACACGCTGCCGCTGTTTGTGACGTTGAAGAGGCATGTGATAGAATCGCCCACTGTGGCGAGCCCCTCCTGATCATCCGGGATATACGATGTACCTACGTCTGTCACCGCCGCGAACAAAACGTAAAGGGGGATGTTCTTTGAGCGGGACATGCCCGCATCAACAGTTCGGGCTTAATGATAGACTCGAAATATTAACGGCGAAGAGGGACTCTGAGTGGAACCACCGCACACGCCGTGTGCAGACGATATATTGCAAGGCTGTATTGCACCCTGCTGTATTCATGCAGCAGAGCGCTCAGGCACGAGATGATGAATGGACGGACAGTCACGGCAGATGATCACCGTCGACCACGTAAACGGCCAGTAAACAGTTGGGAAGCTGAAGGACTGGCACCAAAAGTAATCTAGGGAACATACCGTGCGAGCAACCCTGGCTATCGCACTACAAAACCTTCTCACCGACTGAGATACTCGCCGCTCCTTTGAGCTCTACGGTGCTGCCTTCGGCGTCCTCTATAATAGTCCGGTTAGGGCTGACCGACGTCGCACGGGATGTTGTGCTGTAGCCTCCCGCATCCATGTCCTCTTGTTTGATCACGTAGGTGCCGATGCAAGTGTACGGGTCGTCTTGGGGGCAGAACATCGCGTCCAAATCCGCGGAGCCTGTGCCGTGCGAACAGATACCGAGAAGATCAACAGCCGAGGTGTGCGGGGTTGGCAACTCTTGTACAACAGAGGATAATCGCGCAACTATTCTTGAAGCGCAACGACGGCATCTGCAAAAGAGTCGAACAGACCGTTGTTCGTACATTCCCCTATTTCCACACAACCTTGGTCGGAACAACCACAAGTATGAGACGTTCCACCTGATTCAGAGTGTTCTCATCAGGCCACGTGTTGATATGAAGTAGCTCAGGTGATTCTCGCTACCCAACCAAGCCAGCCTTATCATGAAGAAGGGAAAATCATAAGCCATCAGCGAGCACATGGAGGCAAGCACCCGCTACTCGAGCATTCCACTACTGAAAATCTTCAAGCAGATGTGGCACAAGCGACGTTTCATTTAGTTTCGTTTGGATAGTCTAGGCAAGTACATGCCCTCACCTCTGTACCATACGTCGCACCCGACGCTCATCGTGTCGTCCGTGACATGGATATCCATGAGGCAGGTGTTACCCGTGTTGGCCACATCCAGGCTATACTCGATGACATCGCCGGCGTTCAAGACGCCATCCTTCCCCAGGTCGGTGTTCGTCATGGTCACTTAATTCCATTGACGGCATGAAAGGGCAGGGAACGTTGACATATACGAGTTTTTCAACGAGAGAGGAACCGGTATCAATTCACATCGACTTTGTGACTCCGTGTCGGCAGCTTCTGTCGGGAACCCAACACACATGCGTCTCCAGGAAAAGGGATAGGGTCTTACCGAGTTCAATAGAAGACACCGGCTCAAGGGCCACGTCCACCGCGGAGGTTGCCTCGACCGGGCCCGCGGGGCTCAATGTTCGGACGGTCAGGGTGCTCTCAACGAAGCCGCCATTCACGTCCGTTTGTTGCACCTGTCATTCAAATCGCCTAGCAGTGAGAATGATAATATTGCTACTGTATCACGTTACCTGGAAAAACATCGCATGACCTACCGCTAGTATGTAGTGGCAGGGGGTAACAGACGGCGCGAAAAAAGCGACGTTGTATGCGAGTCTTGGCAAAGTATCCCGCTAAACCGCAATCTTTACTCCCGGACAAGCGTACTCACGGTGTAGAAAGCGGTGCAGATGACAATGCTCCCAGGATTCAGAATCAGTCCGGTCAGGGGAGGTGTGCAGGCTATTTCCGCCACGTTAAGGCCCCTGAAAATAATAAAAATGTCACCGTATTAGGATCGACTAGGCTTGTCAATCAATCGCTGCATAGATGTTCAGGAGGCGAGACTCTCAAAAGGCTTGCAAGTCAACGATGGGCAGAACCGAGTCCATTTTAAAAGGTGGACGGACTGGAAAGGCACGTAAATACTCAGCATGCTGAAAATATAAACATTTCCTTCGCGGAGATGGGACGACTGAAGAGAATTACTCATCATGCAGTCAACACATTGGATAGAAGAACGAGATCATGTAGAGCCCCACCCGGGGTTTTAGTGCTCAAGCTGCTGTGATGAGAACGATGCCATATTATCCTTCTCATCTCACTTTTGCAGCTGCTCCTCCAATATTGGGTCCCAAACGACGGTGGTGTTAAGGGTTGTCGTGCCCGTGTTGTTCAACTTGATGTTGTATTCGATGATGTCTCCAGAAGAGGCTCCATGGACGCCATCCGAATCGACAAGCGTTGTTTCAGCGGAAATGGACACGTTGCTTTTTGAGAGCAACACCTGACTCGCCATGGCCGTATCTACCATGACTCCCCCAGACTCGGGATATCCCGAGATGCTGCATGCGTAGTTCGACGAACAGACGATTTCGGGGAAGCGCAAACATTGATTTGTGCAGAGCTCGGCGTCCGTTTAGATTCCTAAGCAGCAAATAGCATCAACGACAACAACACATGAATGAGCTTTGGAGAGATTCACGTTATAGTGGATACACTGCTTTGTGCGGCCACCGCTCGATGGCGAAGAATGCAACGTGTGTTGTTTGAGGCACCTTTATGCTTCGACCAACTTTTCACGTGTACCTGACAATGTTGCTCACTACACCGGCATCGATGTCAGCCTGGGTGATGCTATATACAGGCGCACAGGCGAACATGCCGCCCACCAGCCAAGGGTCCGGGATACCATCCGAGCAATCCATGTTTTCGGTTCCTGTTGAGAGAATTCGCGAAAACAAGATGAGTACGTTCTCAAGTACGTGCTCAGTACATTTGCATAAAAAAAAACGCCTTCACGATGTGTCGGTACAGGTACCTGTAGCACCAGACCCATTCTCTAACAGCGTTTCGTGATTCTGTGCGCTGATCGATGGAAGCAGTCGCAATGCTTGGATAGAACGTCTTGGTTCTACTCTCTCTGTTTCTTCAGGTTCTCTGTGGATTGCCACGTACTGCTCAACCTACCGGCCGTGTCCAGCATGGTGACCCGTGCTACATCCACGTTTCCTGTGTTGGTGGACTGAACGCCGAATAGGATACTTTCCCCAACTGCGGCCAATCCCTCCGTCTGATCAGCCGGGACGTGTTCTGCCGTCATTTCGATGGCCCACCCTGGGTCCTGCAAATTGTCAATACAAGAAGATTAGAAAAGGCACGCAAAGAGAGAATCGTCGCACATCAGGTGAGATTCGTTTTGCAGGTATGATACACCGTAGGGACAGCATCGGCATTGCAGTTTCGGAGGGATACGAGTAGTAGCTCCCTAGCGTATCGACAAGACCACCAGTACCGGCCATTGCGCGAAATCACGTACTTAATTGACCTCGTTGCAACTTACCGGTGTCAGCTTCGTTGTCACAGTCGCGTTACTGAAGACCTCGCCGTTCAGTACGCCGGCTTCACTTTCATGCCATGCCTGGACTTGAATGCTTGCCAGTTGCACTCCGTCGTTGATCTGTAGAATTGCCAAGGTTGTTAGCGACACGACACGTTAGCAATCCGAAATCTCCCGCATCCATACTATTTGGAAGATGTGCTGAACACTTGATCCTCAATGTTTGAAGCATTGCTGAGATTCCCGCGTGGCACTTCGCTATTGAAGAGCGGGGAGGCTTGGAAATCATCGAGCGACACATGACAGCAGGTCAAGCTGCAATGGAGCTCCCTTCGTTGGCGAGCTGCAGTGGGATCGCGGTGCACGGGTGCAACGTTGATACTTCGAATCGTCTCTTTTGCTCACCTCCGACTGAGTCACACCATCTGTTGCGGTGCACGTCAACGATGTAGCCGGTGCCAATCCCTTGTCTGGGTATGTAGCTAGGCCGGTGAAAGATCCATGGCCTAATCCATCGGCCGTCTGTGCATCGACGTCTGTGCAAGTGATCGTAACCCCATTCTCGTGCAAGGTGTTGTCCTCAATGGCGATGTCGAATAGATCGAGCAAACCGTTGTTGGTGATGGTGTAGGTGTACTTTATCTCATCAGATGTAGCTGCCGCGACGTCAGTCCCAAGTTTATCGTAGGTTCGCCCCAGCAAAACGTGCACGGACCCGACCTGGTATCGGTTGGAGTTTTTAACAGACATGTTCCCATCGATTAGAACAGCCTCCTATTTAGCGTAGAGACAGGACGTTGTAATGAGTACACCCAGCAAGTACCAGGAAATAGCACGTATTTGCGTGGGCATCGACAAGTGAATATCGTGTGAGTGGTAGCTTGGGCACGGCCAGGTACCATTGCATCGAAGAAACTTTCAAGATCTAGCCTTAGGAAGCTACGTAGGCCAATGCTGTGGGGGACTATCGCAGAATTCCATCGCCGTGCATCTTCACCTGAGAGAGAGAGACCACCTCGCTGAACGAGGACTCCACTTGGTAGTCGTGCTCATCCCTAGCCGTGACCGTCACAATCGCCTTCCTCTCGAGTTCGTTGACATCATCGGCAGTCAAGACGTGGATGTAGCTGCACGAAATTTCCGCGTCTACAACGAGATCATCGGTGATGGTGACCTCGTTCTTGAACACGGTGAAGTCTTGAGTGCAGACAATCTTAGATTCACCGTCAGCTGGAGTTGCGGAGGGACCGCAACACGGAAAATAAGCAGTCATGATATCGTATGGAAATACTGTTAAGAAAGAACGCGTCCAACCAACGCACTGCGCGCGGCGTTTCTCGCCATTCATGAACATGATGTTTGCGTTCCGGCGCACGTGATCAACTGCCGTGCCATGTATGAATGCCAGTCCTATAAACTACTTGGTTGTCTTGGTGTGGGCCTGAAACCGCTGACGCGTCAAGCCAAGTGCATCGAAACCAACATGGCACCAGTTTCGCATACCCTGCGCCGTTCCACGTAGGTACTGTAAAGTGCGTGGTATGGCACCCATCGTTGATTTAGCACCCGTCGGTGTCTAAGCGCCGGGGTGCGTAAAAAAGCAAGAACGCCATGATTTAATTGCATTTGGGCAGCGATATCGGTGTTAACGCACTCGGTGCAATATCAACGATATTAAATCTGCGTAGGATGCTAATTTGAGTGCTTCCGCAAGGTACCGGTGCTCTCCGGGTCACGGTTTGAAGTAGGCTGCGGGGTGTCTGTAGGTATCAGTAGGGGTGCCATACCACTATGTATACCGTTCCGTCGTGGTGTGAGCGGAGAAATGTCTCCAAAATGGCCCACTACTGTGATTTCTTCCGTATCGCACCCATCGGTGTCATCGCACCGGGGCGGTGTTGGAAACCTACAGTAGAACGAAAGGGTTAAATTGTATTTCCGCAACGGTATCGGCGTTATGGCGCCGGGGTGCGATAAAAAGCCAACACAGGGATAAAATACAAAACGATCGCACCCCGGCGTCGTAACACGCACATTTTACGGTAGTCTGGGCCTACATCATGAACGTGCGTTCTGTCCAAAACATTGGCTTAACTACAACAAGGGTGATAGTATCGCAGTTAGGGTCATTTCAATACCGCAACTTCGGCTTGCCTGAGACCGCCCAAGGATCGTTGACCACAATGTCCGACAGCACGGCGTGCCCGTTGTTGATGATGAGAATATCGAACCTAGGTAGAAAAGGTGGGAAATGAAAGGGCCACCGGACAGGACCCCCAAACAGGCAGCACAACATGCAACAAGGTTGGGTTGGTACAACAAACGCAAGACAGAAATCAGTCAAAGACAGAAACAAGTGAACAGTGTACTCCAGTTCGTCGGTGTGTCCAAAGAAATACTGGTGTGACGTTAGGCATGTGTCTATTCAGCTGTAACCGTGTTTGATGCAAAATAGATTTCTCTCACTTGATCTCTTCCCCAGCTTCAGCTTGATCGTCTTTTGGATCAAAGTTGTCCAAAAACAGGCCAGATAAACCTGTTTATTGGCAGATTGGTCGAAGTTTAGTGCACCAAAGGAATATGCTGCAGTAAACATTGTGGACGATCCTCACCACGGCAGATACTGCAGTACCGCAAATGAATAGAAAGCGGACGTCAGCGCCGACCATTAGATCTCTACCTCAAACCATCGTTGGCACAGCAGATTGAACCACCGTCACTAAATCTCCCGGTCAACCCCGGAGTACACTTGGCTTACAATTGTGTCGACTATCAAAGCCATAACTGTAGCCTCACACCAAGCCCTGAGAATCTCCAATCTCGTACCTATGTCGACGGAAGGGGGTTTCTTGAGTGTGACAGGAGCAGTCCCGATCTTGGTGATTGGTTGCCCCGACGGAGGTGTTCCTTTAGCTCTGCATGCATACCAAGTGAGTATCAGGGCACCAGCGCGTGGATGGAGGCTGACTTTGGACATGAACAATCTATATGATGGTGTCAACGCAAACAAACAAACACTTTCAACTAAAGAGACTAATTGAAGAAGGTTATGTCGAGGTACACAGTCGTCCAAGCTCACCCACAGCGCAAAGACACGCTTATCCCCAGCATTTCAGCAACTTGCCGCCCGTAAACCCTTTCACCAACACGGCACTAATGTACCTCCCGAGAGTAGAACCTCTCAAGAGTGTTCGGTCGTGGCGAAACCAAGAGCTTATCTATCCGCAAATATTAGCTGCTCACGTGGCTGCTATGTCCAGGATTCCTGCATCGATGTCGACCCAGGACAGCGTGTACTTCCCGGCGCACGAGAATTTTTCGCCAGGCCCAAGCGTTGCGACGGTAGGACATTCGTAGGAAACCCCGGGGTGCGACACACCGGTGTTGCTCAAGTCCACATTGCCCGTGTTTGTCACCTGTGAGGATGTCATCAGGTGGGTTTGTTCGCCTGGAATTATTCACTAGTGAATACCACGCGCTATCTAGATTGAACCTCTTGATTACTGCGCCGCGTACGTCAAAAGACCTGTCAGCAAGGCGAGGTGGCACCAGTAGGCGGTGGGAGTCATGCGTTTACAAGAAAGACATTGCAGGAGAAGTCGTTTCCACTCAGACACGACCGCGAGGAGAAACGCGCAACCATGTGACCTACAGTATGATTGGAAGATCTTGGTCTGTACGCCAGAAAGCCGCTGTCCAACTGACTCAACCGTTGGGGCACATTTGTCGGGGCGGCATCAATCTCGGCTCGTGAGAACAGAGCGTTCTTTCCCGATGCCCAGTCCATAGGAACCAAAAAAGGACTGTTCTCCAATATCCACAGCACAAAGTATCAAGGCCCTTGTCTGTTCGGCACGTCGTAAAATGTTTCTTCATAATGCGACAACCCTTTTTGAATTGTCGACCAGGCCCAAGAGGTCAATGAACTCTTACCGTCACCACGTAAACCACGAGCTCGTCTTTGTCGGCGTAGTCGGTCATGCCCGACTCGCCACTGTCTTCCCACGTAGCGGTCATGCCTGAACGAAGAGAGCGAAGTTATCCAAAATTCGAAATCGTAGCACAATGCAAGGTTAAACGAAGTAATATGGGCGTTTTCAAGCTTCCGGAAAAATTCATCCACGATTTCGGTGGGCAACTAGGGATACGTTTGGTAATAATAGTGTGGCAATGACCCTGAGGGGGGTTGAAGTTGGTGAAAGCGAAAGTGGAGTAGTACTGTTGTCTCAACATACATTCGGAGCTGACGATGCTTTCAGTGGTTCTGCTAAACCAATACATAACCGCGCGAGCAGCAACAGCTCTCCCCTTGATCGGTGATTATACGCGTTGGAGGGTGACTCGCCTATTTCGATAGAGGGATCCGGTGTAAGGTTCTCGGCCCACACGAAGGACCTGCTCATGGGTTGGTTGTTCACCGCGGTACCGGTCACCGATGCCGTGAAGTTGACGACACCGGCGTTGAGATCCTGCTGCGTGACCTGCAGTGGTGACAGGAAACATGGACAACGGGAAGAACTATTTAGTAGTTCCTGTTTGGATGCCTTTCCCTAGAACATTTCACTCCGAACCTTTTGACGGAGACCGAAACTGTCTTCAACTTTTTGTCGTACCTTGGCTCATCCCCTGAAAAAATCAAACTTGACAACACCTCGACACACGTCATGAGTTCAACCTTTCTGCGTGTAAGACAAAGATCCACACCGGCTACAGTAACTGGTTCGCCCGGGTTGCTGCCGTGCCCTAGCCAGTCACCCAACTATCCCCTACCGCCCAACCGTTGTGATTATTGGCAAAGGTAGGTTCAAATAATGGGAAAACAGTCGCGGAGGGGAGCTCGGCAGAGGCCTAGAAGGTAACGCGATGGAACTTGATTCAATAGACGTTATGTTCGGGTGTGGCAAGCATAAGTATTTACACTGATATTAATAAAGCAGTTCCCACGGCAGCTCCTCACCTGTTGGATAGGCACACACTCGTGCTGCTGGCCTTGCTCTAGCGAGAAGGTCTCTGACACGGCGCATCCTGCGGAGTCTAAAGAATCTGCGATACTAAGAGAGACGAGCGTCACGGTTCCCTTGTTGGCCACGACCACGCTTAAGTCGACGGCCTCTCCGGCATCTGGACGGCCGTTTCCGTTTTCATCCACCCAAGCTCCGGTCGTTTCTTTGGAGGCAGTTTGAAGGAGGCGAGGCGATCGCAATGGTTCATCGCATCTTGAATTGAACAGGTTGGTGTGTCGGGGTAAACGTTGGCAACCGTCTGGCGTCGTGATTGGTTGCGGTACTATCTAGACAGTTTTATTGTTTAATCTCAAGCTTGTACAGGGAAGCAGCGAACATTCGTGCTCTTGCTTGACGACTTCGCTGACACCAATTCCCCTCACCAATGCTAATGCTGGCAAGCTGAGTCACCGTTGCCCAGGTTGTTTGTTGGTCGCGGACAGGTCTGTTGTCTGGATCAACGGCCGTCACCTGAGACATGTGGTTTCCGTGGTGGATGGTAGCCCAGAAAATGTTAAAAAGGAATACGTTTTGGTGAAATGACGATTGTTCATCACGAAGCGGAAGGCGCGCAATGCATTAGCCAGCTGTCGACAAGAAGTTCCGAAGCTATTTTCAGCATGCAGTTGTTTTGAGGCAGTGAAGAAATTCCGAACTGCCGGGCCACCGAGGTGCTTGACAACGTGAAGAGTACCCAGGTATACAATACGAGACAAGCAACTCTGACACCGAACGAAGTTATTTCGTCGCAAGGAGATAGTACCGCTGCCGGAAAGACATGGCATGCAATGGGGCACGCACGCTGTTTAATCGTGCCGAGATGCGCAGTTGCGGCACATAAACTAGTACCATTGAAGCCAATGACCCCCTAGCTGTTGGAATACTCGTCGAGTAGACTAAAACCAATCATTGTCACACCATCAGCAACATAGAATAAATGACTACTGTGAAGATCAGTGGCATCGACCTGAGGAAAGCCCGGGTGTATAATTCGCCGACACATTTCAATCTCTTTAAGACATGACCCCACCTCAGATGTACTATTGAAGCCCCCAGCGTCAATATACGACGCTGTGAGAGGCACCGTAACCTCGCACACAAGCGGCGCGCCGGAAGGGTGGGAGCTTGGCAAGAACTCGCTATCGGCCGCCGAAACATCTTGGTCGCAGTTGAAGGCCTCCGAGCCGACAATCCAGTTGGTTGGTTTGACGGAGCTCAGCACGGCATTTCCCGTGTTGGCGATGGTTACTTGGAATGTCGCAGAGTCTCCCTCGTCGCTGTAGGCAGAGTCGAGTCCTTCGGACTTGGACATCGACAACAACGTGCTTTCCAAGGAGATGTTCATTTGCCTTGGCACCGTAACCGTCTCGGCGTCTTTAGTGGCAACCTTCACCGCACCGGGCGAAGGCGACCAACCTTCGAGAATGACCGTGTTGTGCACGTACCCCGCGTTGATGTCCTCCTGACAGGGGTGAGGGAGAATCAAGGGCAGCGCGCGCTTGGTACTTGTAGCTCATATGATGAAAAATGAAACAGAATCAGCACAGAAACGGGAACAGCGCGCCTATTACATCCCTGTGGGCACATCAACCGCCGCGAAGGAATGAACAAGCTGGCTTGCGAGGAACGACCCATACCACGAACGTTCATTCTGCTTTCTCTGGTCGTGACCCAACTGAAGGCTGTTGGTGGCTACGCGCGGGATCGATCAAAACACCCGACATGCTTCATGACCTTTGGCATAGAGGGTTTCGTTGTCTTCATTTGGCCGGTCGATGTTTCGGGCGTCAAGAAGCGGTTAGACTACCTGGTTCACGTTTTGGAGTGACGACCTAAAACAATGGCAGCACGAACGTAGATGTTCTCTCTACTGGACTTCACCATGTGGCATTGTCACAGCACGTGGGAGATCTATTGAACGCTATTTTGCAACCCAGACCTGAGTAATCGAATAGCCAGACGAGCTTTGACAATGAACGGCCGTCCCGGGAGCTACGTCCAAGTCAACCAGTTTCGGGTCACAGATGACCGATACCTGACCAACACAACGCGGAGGAGAGGTCAGAATGTTCAACCGTTGGAAGGATTGGAGAGTTGGGACCTTTCACCTAGTTCGTCTGTTGCACTGGTCAACGTAAGGGAACAAGGCGTGAAGCCCTTCGTTGACTTTCCACATTGCTACCAGTGTCGTTTTTCCGGTTCGTCACTCTGCCAGCAACAAACGGCTGTCCGACAGAGCGATCCTGAATAACCCGGCGTACAGTTTGATACTCATCGTTCCTGAGACTCAAGCAGCGAATCATGTCGAACTGAAGAACTGACCGCGGTGTCTTCGACAGTCAGCCTTGACATCGTAGTTGTGCCGTCGTTGGAGATGGAATACTCGTATGAAACGGTGTCACCCAAGCCAGCTGCAAGATTGCTCCCAGTGTAGGACCCCGTCGCCTCTTTGGGAGAGACGGCATTGCGGTGGACGGTGAAGACATGCAGGACAAGTCAAGATCCGTGTACAAAATAGAGCTTGCGATGTGTAGCGGCGGCGGCCAAGCACGCAACGACACAGAGGGACTTGTCCAAATCGAGTTGGAGGCGTCGTCAGCCTTTCTTTCGCCACACGACAGATTCCCACCCAGCAAGCAACGTATTCCTATTAACCCCAGGGCAAGAAAACATGGGCCGACAGTTTCAAGTTCGACCGCCCCCGCATCTCGAATATAGATATGCTACAAGGCCCCAGTTTGCTGGACGATGGGTCTCACCGATTGCAAGCACATTGGTGTTAGTGAGGGACACCAGAGTTGCGTTGGAGACCGTGGCGTCACCCTCTTGCGAGTCCACGGAAGAAATATCCACTGTGGTCACCATTTGCCCCGCATCGATGTCCGTCTGTTGCACCTGCTCGTTTTTGGAACAAACCACGTGGGAGGTGTAGGCGCGCATGCATTGTATCAAAGCAACGTACATGGTGTGCTGCCGGCATCACCATGTAGAAAATACGAGAATATAACTTTTCTTTGCTGGTGGTTGTTTTCCTTCCTCTGAACAGAAGAAACAGATACCACGTGCCATCTGCCAACCAATGCTGTTGCACCAGGCCGAAAAGCTGTCTGAACACCTAAAACAAGTGTCATATCGAGGAACAAGTTCATGTGCGCTATGGCCATACGCGTTTAAAACAGTTGAGACATGTTGTGGTTTTGAGGAACAAAACATACCAACAGCGAGTTCAACGAAAAGTATTGGAAGGTGCTCGGAGAACCAAAACGAAAGTACCTCGGTGTCAATTGTGCACGTGAAGTTCGCCCCGGGGGACAGCGCGTCGGCCTCTGAACACGCTTGGCAGCCTTCGTTGAAGCTGGAACTCGTGATGCAGAAGCTTACGAGCGAGGTCGTGCCGTCGTTCTTGATGGTACAGGCATGGCTGACCTTCTCGCCGATGTTGGCGAGACCATCGCCTTCATCACCATCCGCCCATGTGCTTTTCAGTTCTGTTAGGAATGGATAACAACCCAATACAAAATATTATCGACCGTTGTAGAACAACATCGTTGCATTGATGAGGTGAGAAACAATATTTACATCATTGTGTACCTCTGAAATACGGGACTTTGGCTATAGACTACACTATTTGGTTTGAGGGCATGTACCGTGGGACAGCCCCGCAAACATGATTATTGTAGTCGATTAACTGTACCATTCAAAACAATCAATTTTCAACTCCAGAACACGCACGCCGGACTTGCTCAACCCGAGTTATTGCGGATGACACGTAATTCGTGCGTACCGAGGGACACGATTGCCGTGCCGAGAAGTTCAACCCTGCTGTCGTCGAGTTTCACAATGCGGGACCCTTCAGAATCCACGCACGACACGGTGCCCACGTTTTGTATCGCCCCGTCGTCGATGTCCTCTTGCGTGATAATATATTCTCCCATGCAAGTGACTGCCGACGCCTGTGGGCAAAGCTCTGTCGATGCAGGCAACACGGCAATTGAATGTATTGTTACGGCTTGGTTACTGAAGGTAGCACGGGGGCTTCGACGTTGGCATCCAATTGTGCATGGTTAAGATTTTCTCGCAGACGCTGAAGAACACATAGACTATGTAGCTGAGAGAGGTGTGGCTCGGAAGAAGGGCCTAGAAGCACGCGCATATTTTTGGGTTTAACCACAAGCAAACGCAGCCCATACCCGCTGGAAGGGCATTGCAAGGATTCCCGCACGGAGCTTACGCCGATAGCCAAGGCTTCATGTACCCTCTCGTTCTTGGGTTAACCCTGAGTGACCAGAGATTGTTCTCTCCTGTCTCGCCCTTCTTAGTGCTTCGGTCTCAGGTTTGAGGCGCATTCACGGGTCCAAAATAGGTTCAAAGATACTCCTCACTCAAAGCGTAGCGTTGTGTCCAACACTAAGACTCACCTGTGACGGAGTTATCGCAGGACATTTCACTGCCCAGGAGGAGGTCGGAAACCACAAGCTCTTGCAGGCAGGTGTTGCCTGTGTTGTCAACTTTAATCGTGTAAATGATGGAGTCGCCAGCCTCCAAGATGTCGTTGCTACCCTTGTAAGTTTGGGCCTCCGTGACTAGCACAGGCAAATGGTGTTTTCGTTGACATCCACAGGGTACGGACACAGACAAGGGGTGGGGGTGAGGGAGGCGTAAGGGAGCCGCGTTTTTCTGATTCGGGTGACTTCGTTGGGGTGACCAACCGGGAAACAAGACGGTGATGGGATGTGCTTCTCACGAGACAAGGTAGTATGAGAGGCTCAATGGTCGCACTCAAGCCGCAGGTTGCTCTTGTGAAGGGTGAGAAACTTCATAGCCTCACCGATGGTGACGTTCGCGAGCCGGGTCAGTTCTTGCCAAGAGCTGTGGGGCTCCTCGATTTCGTTTTGAGGTCCGGCTGCGGCGACGACAACGTCGTTCCCAATTCCTCCCACGTCAAGGTGCCCTTGTTCGACCTGCAGAATAATAGCACATGCTTTTGACTACGGTAATCTTGGTTGGGGTGTTCTAAGCCCCATGTGACTGGAATGTCTCATTACGTTGAGGAGGCAGAAGTGTTGCACATTAATTCATGGGACTGGTGGGCTGCGGTGGGTGGTGGACAAGAAGGCGGCCGAAGACTGCAGGAGGGTCTCCACGAATGGTCTCGTCTTGGTACCCTTCCTATGCCAATGCATCCCATCAGAGGGGGGGGGTGCTGTGCGCCCACCACAAACGGCAAAAACGGCGTTGCTAGGGGCGTATTCCAACTTCATGGGCACGATGACGTGATCGTTTTCACAAACCACCCACCTTCGGAACCTGAAGTACGACTGCGTGAGAAAACTCTGAAGCGAAACGTGAACTGCGAACCTGCTCATGCCCTGAGCTATCGGCATACCCAAGCGAATCGATTCAACACTCAGCAAACTTCACGAGGTTCACCTCTGCTGCTGCTGTACACTCGATGGTGCCTCCTGGAGCGAGTTGAAACGAGTCTAAGACAGGATCACATGTCAGCGCGGCTGCAGAGTAGCCACTGTGCAAAGGAGGTAGCGACAAGAGGACGCAATGATTAATGCAGAGTTTTGTCAGAGCACAGGCCTTGGGTGTACCTCGACTATTGGTGCGCTGCACCTTTGTATCCGTGCCATGTTCGCACGGTTCGCGCGAGATAGACGTGCGGTACCGTGCAGCACTTTTCCCTGCTGTACGCACGGTCGCATGGGTGTTTCCATCACCCTATACAGCTCCTACATACGTCCTCATCGAAACCAGACATACCATATATTTTGCGCAACTCAATATCTGTTTCGATGTATTGGACTAAACGGATGGAGACCTTCGGCACGTCAGTAATGAAGTCTGCTCGTTCCCCCGCTCAGTAACCAACTTCCTAGATGGTCAGAGTCACTTTGGACTGAACCAAAGACGTCCAAATCGGTGTTTGTCCCTTTTCATGTCAGGCTTCACAATTGACGCACCTCGAGTGTTGATCTTCCAGGAGTGAGCTGCTTACAGCGATAGCGGACAGAGTAGTGGTTCCCTCATTCGTGATGGTAATGGTGTACTCGACCGTGTCACCAGCCGACTCGCCGATGATTGTGTCGCTGTCGACTAAATCCTCTCGGATGTTAATCCCAACTTTGTCCGTCGTCGAGAATGTCATTGTTGCCGATGAAGTGGTGGTGAATGGTGCTCCCAACGGTGGGGTGCTCGCCACACTTCAATACAAGAAGAACGTGCACAAGGGTAAAGGGTGAGCGGGGGGATGTTTAATTGTTCCACATATACACCTAAATATCACGGGCACATAGCCGATGGAGATCAATGTACATGCAGCATACTGTGCGGTGGACTCAGTTCTCTATTGTAGATTTTCTCTCCGCCTTAGATTAGCTTGTTTCTTGACGTTAGCTTCGTGCGTGTGCGCGAGCGGAGACCGGACGTCGTGTCGATCTAGGCAACAAGAACACACATGCAAACCAGTACAGCCAAACGGAGTCCTCGGGTAAAGGTCAACGATCCACCAACATTTTCCAGATATGTTCTCCACCCTTGCGAAGGATAAAGGGACCAAGATGGGACCCACCACGCTCCCCGCTGGTTCACACTCATACCTTATCCCACGCTCACCAAGCATCGCATGATCGATTCGCTACTTCTCGCGGAAATACCACTTAATCAAACTAGAAGGTAACATCCGTGAGACAAGCACTGAATTTCTTAATTCTGCCTTCTTTGGGTCAGCTTCAGCCTCGGAAATAGGTTACTACCGGTCGGAAGAGTACAGTGAAATTGTCGGATAGACTGCAGCGCTGAGTTGTAGCATGCGCAGCACATCATGCGGTGTGGTTACGGAAACACCCTGACTTACCTGGCAACATTGGCCAGGCGTCCCGCATCAATGTTCTCTTGCGTGATGATGTACGTCGGAGTGCAAGTAAACTCAGTGTTTACCTCCCACCGGTCTGGTATACCGCTCCCACAGTACATTTCGAGTCCCCCTGTATCAGAACGCAGGCACGCGTCCACGTCAAGAGAAAGCTCATATTCGATGTCATTCCGTCGGACGGAAGAGCGAAGGACGTTGGTAGCAAAACCGTAACATCAACGGTATGGCGACACTGACTATCAGGGTTGAACCCAGCTGAAGAGCCTGAAATTTCAACGAATGCAGCACAGCATGCCGCCTGGATAGCCTCCCAACCGTGCGTTTCGCCCCACCTTCAAACAGGGAGCCTGTGACAGCCACCTCGGTGAGATCGACGTTGCCGATATTCGTAGCAAGGATTACGTACTCCACCAGCTCGCCTACCGCCGCATAGTTGTCGACGTGATCACTAGGCGTATGCGTCGCGTTCACGGTGACCAAAACTCCAGGCTCCTGACAGAGAGTAAACGAGACTGAACGTTGATCATCAAGCCTTTGAGAGTGGCCTCTGCTGCGCGTATTACCAATTCGCAAGCAGTAAATAACGTACGCCAGGAACACGCCTGATACTTCCTGAAGAAACCTCGTCGATTTTACAACCACAACGCGAAAGGAAAAGTATCATGGTATCCCCCCCTACGGAACTCTATCCGCACGCTTTCACCGTGCTTCCCATAAACGAAAACAAAAGCTGCACATGAGGTTATCACCTGGACCATGCTGACCACCGAGAAGGACTCAGCTTTCACCCACGCATCCATGGTGCCCGGGCTGCTTTCGTGCCATGCTTGGACTTCTTGGTTGCTTTCTTTCACCCCAGAGTTGATCTGTGGCGCGGTTTGAAGTTGAGTACGTGAAAACATCGTTAAACTTATGATTGGCTGAAGCAAGGCCATGTGTGCGTTGTAGGCACAGACTAAGTCTACTTTCGACGTTCGAAACACCTAAACGACACCCTCGTGGAACGCCGTACTGGTACTGTTCGCATTCTTCTCGTTTGACCAAGATATTTAGGTCACATTCCCTGGCCTGCAGGAAAGATGGAGATGGTGTTATCAAGGCGGGTGTACTACACACCGTATCCCGTGTAGAGCGCTGTTTTCAATATCTAGACGTTTTGAACCTACGCTCGAAATCCGCCCTCGAAGAAACGAACACATCGTGGCTCGATGGGAAGAGCTCAAGTTGACACTGGATGGAACCGACAATGTAAAGTATTGGGCGAAACAACGTGAGCGATGTCGGGCAGCAAGTGCAGACAAGTATTCCGTATACGAAACCATACTGGTGGCGCGTTAGTACCTCTTCTTGAGAAACCACATCCGTTCCGCTGCAGAAAATCTTCGAGGTCGGGGTAAGACCAGCATCGGGATATCGAGCAAGACCGTTCACTTCACCCGGCTTGGAGCCTACCACCGAGTTTCCGTTGGTATCTGTGCACGTGATGATCGTCCCGTGTTCTCCAAGAACGCTATCGCGCATGGAGATGTTGTAGAGGCTGAGCAGGCCGTTATTGCTCAGTGAGTACTCGTAGGTCACGCTGTCTGTGGTAGCGGCTGGCGCGGCGTCAGTCTCCTTCGGGTATGCGTGGGACGTCTCCATTCGGACCGACCCGACCTGTGAAAAATTGTCGACGATCCAGAGGGGTAGGGTTGAAAACACACTAATATCTACCACCGTAGGTCGCCTCACGTGAAAGGGAAACTTGTGGTTAACACCATGCTCGGAGTGTGCCGAGGTTCGGGGTATTTTACGAGGAACGCGAAGGACACGCTGTATTCTGTGCCGAACGTCAGACGAAAATCGGTGCCGTCCCGTAGAGGTTGTTCATATTCGTTCACCTGCTTGAGTGTAACCGTGTCGCCCTTAGATGCTCCCACTTCGTAGCCATACTGATCTTTCGCGCTAATCGTAACGAAGGTCGCCCGGGAGAGGTTGTGGATATCTTCCGCCGTCAGCTTGTAGGTACCGGTGCACTCCACGGAAGCACCAGCCACGAGGGGGCTGGTCAGCAGCAATGCTTCCCCAACGTGTTCTACCGAAACCTCCGAAGGACATTCGATTGTCGAAACCTCCTCTGATCGACGCCACGCGAAATGAAAACAAGATGCGGTTTAGGGCAATGGCCAGCGAATGTTCAGGTATCTTACATAGCCGTGGCCTGGGCAGCTGGAGGCCAGCCGCGAATGAAGGTTTTCACTCGTGAATGGTCTGCGTTCGTACGGACTTTCCTCTCCTTTCGCTTGCCATAGAACCGCCAAGTTCTCACTCCACGAATACCAAACGGAAGCAATCCTTACAATTCAACTCATGCTGCGTTGACCAGAGCTCATTGTCTCACCTGACACCAACGAAGAATCTTTGATCGTTACGCCGTAGAGGACCGCATGGCCATCATTACTGATGGTATATGTGTACCTGCGATTCGCGTTCAGCACCAGCCAGCATAGATGTTGGTCAGACATAAATGTTGGTGGCTTGTTAAAACAACAAGGATGTCGATCTATGCAATATCGCTGTTTGTTATTCAGAAAGTCGAGGCTTGATTGTGCCAACCTCGGGCGTCGATAAACTCACGTGATGGTTTCTCCCGTTTCAGCCTTCCCATCAGCCGGCAAGTCATCTTGGAATGTGCTTATCACACCTTTGGAGCGAAGTAAGGTTGGGGAAATGTCCTTGATAAGTTGATTCCGCGTTGAACAGCTGGGGCGAAGGACTCAACGGCATATGTGCTGTCACCCTTGAGTGCATTAAGAAAATCGGCGCACGTGGCGGTGCAGCAAGTGACCATTCTACTTCGCTCTGTTTCATGTATGTACGTGATAGCTGAACGATTAGGATCACCAAACTCTCGGATAGAAGGTGGAACTAACCACATTTCAGGACTACAGCTGAATGCTGCAGCCTCGTCGCCTGTGTACGGTGCCAGCCTCTCCAAGAGGAAATGTCAAGTCGCACGGAAACATCAAACTGCCATCCCGCCACGCAACAGTGGGCAGTACAATCTTGGTAGACGCACATACTCAAGAGTCAAGTCACGTACACCATGGCCTTGTCCTTTTCTAACAAACTCTCGAGAACTATGACCCAAATGGGTTTCTCACCGATACTGATAGATGGAGGTTTCTTCAGCAAGGTTGACGTGGAGGCGGACGCTGGTGGTATGCTCTGAGATAACGGATCACGGGCTTCTACCCTGTGACCTCGGGCAGGGACGGCGAAAGGGGTACTCGCAAGGTGAGAGATAGGTCTACCGGGGTAGAGGGGTACAACTAAATAGTGGTTACGATGGTTGTCATCACTGTTTCATGGAGACGTGAAACTGATGTGAAAACATTCCCACTTTTCTCTCACAAAACTGATGTGAAAACACTCCCATTTTTCTCTCGCAAAGCTGCGCTCTGTAGCGTGAATATTTATTGATAACTTGCATAGGTCTCTCACAAGAACACCTTCCAGATTCTACGGCACTTGAAGATGTTTGCAGGCAATTGCGATGGAGTTAGCTTTAGGTTCGTTGCCACGGGTACGCCAGAGCCACAATGAACGTTTCCTCGAAACCTGTTCGCCTTCGAGCAGGTTGCACAGCTTTTCTACACCTGCAAGTTGCAAAACTCGTCATTGGACTAGAAGATGAAGAGTCTTCCGAATTATCACACTGAACCGAGCGCTTGGCAACCATCCTTACGTCACAGTGTTGTTGCTCCACCCGCTAACGACGTCTGGCCAGAATATCGTGCGGGTTCCGGTGCAGGTGAAAATCTCGCCAACGGCTAGGTCTTCGAGATCGCCACAGTCGAGAGTGATGTCTGAGCTCGCAAGGCTGGCATCCGTCAAATCGATGTTCCCGGTGTTGGTGACCTGCGTGTAGTGTTCGGGTTGTCAGACAGAGGGATATGGTCATTGTGACATGAACCGTAGACTCCAAATCGCGGGGAGTAATTCTCTTGGGCATCACTTGCGAATCAACATTCACGAGTCAAACTTTTCCAGAGCAGCAGGAGGCTGTTCCTGGTTCTTTCGTCGCCCAACGGGAAATACACAGTAAAAAGTAGATTTCGAGTATCGTGAGCTCTAGATGTCCCGCGCTGTGGATGGTCCATGCTCCGTTTCTCCTCTTGTGACCTTCGATCGGGGACACCGATATGTTCGGGCTCACCGTTATCCCGACGGCCACTGTTTCTGTACTGTCCGCATATCCATCCATGCCGCCAGCCGCGCCATCCTGCCAGGTAGCCGTTGATTCTGAGGCGTGCCCACAAGGGTTATGGCGAAATATTCGGTATTGATGGGCAGCTTCACTATTAGTTTCGTGCAAGAATATTACCTAACATGCATGGCGTTCACGTCTATGGTGCCGCCCATCAAATTATCGCCACATTCCGCATGTTCCCTGTGTCATCATATTCTTACGCACTCTAATGCAGCGCACCACGCGGGTTTCATACAAATTGCTGTGCAAACACGAAGCAAAGCACCGAAGGTTCAACGGAATTCGGCACGGCCTTCCTTTGTGTGCGGCTCACCTACGTCGACCTCAGGTGCCCAGGGAAGTTCGACAACCGTTTCCACAGTATCGCCCACCGGATCGCCGTTCACGGCTGAACCACTGACGCTCGCCTCTTTCGTTACTCTGCCGGCATTGACCTCAGCTTGGGTCACCTGGAATGGGTATGTATTTAGCATGCAGCACGTAACACGACGGCGTCTACTTGAAGGATCAAGCTGCAACATACGCAAGACCCATTATGGAAGTGCTCCTTGAAGAGTGTGGCGGTAAAGGTGCACGAGCCGGAAAGATGATATTACCACGTTTTGGATGAGCCCGAGGCAGACCAAGTGCGCCACGTAGATTGTTCGTGTCCGACCGTACGTGTACAAGCATCGCCGTACTGCCTGAATCCTTTCTCGGCCTCGACGTCAAGATAGCACACCGACAGCTGAGTTAACCGGTTCTAGTAGTTTATTTCGACATTCTTGCAATCAAAGGGGAGCTGCTACAGGTTGAAAGGACAGGTCGATACGAACAGTTCAAACTAGGAGTGTTTCCAAACCTGGCTCGAGCCCCGGCACTTGTATTCTTCGCCCTGCCCAAGGAGACCAGACTCGGGCTCTTCACACTTCATATCTGCCCTAACATCCTCCACATTCAGTGCACCCAGCGTGATAATCCCCTCGTTCTTTACCACGGCAAGGTAAGAAACGTTTTCGCCGGCGTTCGCGCACTCGCTACCATCGGCATCCTCCCATGTGCCCGATTCGACTGAAGGGAGGGGAAGTTAGGAGCGTGGTTTCACAGCGAAGACGAGAAACAAGGAACCGTACGAGATGAAAGTCTGGCTTCGGTCGGGAATCAACATGAAGCAAGCGTAGTTGCATGCATGCGCTTTCTGCGGGTCTGAAGCGCAGGAAACAAACAGTACCCACAGGAGCATTTTGAATTTGACAGGTAACGGCCGTAGTGGCAAACGACTTTCTTAATCTCCTACCAAAGGAAACGGAAGCCCATTGGTCCAGGTCGTGGGTGAAAAAAGAATTGCCGGAAATCGAGGTATTGGATGGGCTCATGGACGTCACCTGCACGCAACGAAAAGCGATGGGTAGGATCAAGGCATGTGGCACGCGTATTATGGTCAGCGCATTGTATCAATGGTGATTTGGTTGTACTGGCCATGCAAGTCCTACTCCTGCACTCTACTTTGTTCGAGAACCAAGCATGAGCACAGAGAATAATGACGGGGTACTTCCCTCATTGACACACCCATCACAATATTCCCTGGGTACCAAAGAGCGCGAAGAACTCTGGGACACCGTCGTCTCCATCGTCGTTGAAACGTTCTGCCTATTCTTGACGCAACTATATATGCGACTTTAAAACTCTTTACAGTATTAATCTTCCACCTATGAACGAGGAAGAGTTGCCAGCGATTCGCTATCAGACCTTTGCCATGCCGCTGATGGAGCCCGCGTCGACGTTGGCATGGGTTAGACGAGTCTGTGCTTCACACATGATGGGGTGTCCATCCGGATGCGATGAGGGAAGGAAGCCGCTGGCCGTGCCGGAAAAATCGTAGTCGCACGTGATGCTGTCGCTAAACATCTCGTCAGTCAGTAAAACTTGGTTCAGTCTTGTGTCACCCGTATTTATGATGGAAATGTCGAAGGTGGCCGTGTCGCCTGCGTCGCTATATGTCGGATCGATGCCGTCGGTGTATGTGATACTTCTCATAGTCTTTTCCACCGAAATGACGGACCTTCCGGGCAGCGGGAAGGTGTCCGTCTCCTTTTCGTCTACTGATGTCGAGTCGGGAGACGGAGACCACGCTTCGACGGCAGTCTCGCTGAAAACGAAGCCAGCATCAACGTCATCCTGCGGGGCAAACAAGATGGGTCGTTATTCCGTGGTGCTCCATGCCTTGAGAGCAATCGCACACATACTCTTCAATCCGTTGGCTCACCTCGCACCGCTTGGACGCAAAGTCTCGACGGGTAGGCTCCGCTGGCATCACTGTCGAGCACGGTATTTCACCGAAGAAAACACCATGTACGTAAATGAAGCTACACCGGGTACAAATCCTGAACGAAAATGTTCGTGCCGAAGGCGACCCTTAACAGGGAAGGTAACGAAGCGCGCACCTGGGTAATGGTGTAGCCAGTCTGGCCTGTACACGATACAACCGCCGCTGGCCCCAGCAGGAGGTCATCCAGCGCTGGCGTGCACACCAAAGTGACCTGCCAGCACACGGTCATTGGTCGCGCGAAATCGTACTGCACTGTCGGTGTGTGAGTGGTTGAAAAGGTAAATGTTCCACAAACCTACAAGCTGTCATGCCCCCGCTGTTTCAGCGAAGTATTGTTTTCGAGCGAGGGACGTATCAGGCGGTAACTTCCGAACGTTCTCATGTTGGAGAACAAGAAGGTCAACAAGTAACCCTCTTGATGCCGTTCGTGTGTACATGTGAACTGACAGCCGAAATGTGAGAGCATCGTATCCCGACGACAAACCTTGGTATGTGTGAGCTGTAGCTTGGATAACGTTGTTGTTCCAGAGTTGTAGACGTCCAAAGTGTAGGTGATGGTGTTTCCGAAGTAAGCTGCGTAAGGATCCCCGGTGTATTCTCTTCTCTTCACTGCATTCATCAGACACATTTCGGAGCAAATGCGCCGGTTAGTAAGGTTTACGACGGGTAAATATAACTTATTTGCATGGTGCAGCCAGGCTTGCAGACCACCAATGAAAAACTGCCTACCTAGAACGACGACATTTCGTGAACCAATGAGGCTGCGTAGCTCGTCTCGCCACGGTATGTAAGACAAGTCAACTATCAGCTGGGCCTGCAACATTCGGCATAGCAGCCTCTGTCCGGACTGACTGGACCTCGTACCTAGCAAGAGTCCATTTTCGCGACTCAGTGGAAGGGTCATGGTGCCCTCGGCGTTAACTTCCTCCGATTGAGCATCGGTCGCGGTGACCATGGCGACCATTTCCACCGCACCAGCATCGATTTCGGCCTGGGTGACCTGCTCAACAAGCGGCAAAGCCAATCCTTCAAGTACCGAAAACATCTAAGTACCTGATGTAGGGCCATATGTGATGAACAGTGAGCGCATGATGGCTCGGACATGGTACACTCAGGGGTGACTCTACCGCAAGCACACCCAACTACCACAGGTGCCACACTCTCATATCTAGCAATAACGATATCACCAACAAGGAGTAGAAGCCTTTTTGCAGGGCGAGACATCCTCACCAACGAAGCGAATGAGCAGACGAAGGAGTCGCCTGGTGGAAGCTTGCCGTTGTCCGACACTACACACGCCAGGCAATCCTCGCCGAACTTTTCGTCAATGACGCAAACGTTTGAAAGTGTCGTGGTTCCCCTGTTGGTAACGTTATAGGTCCTCGTCAGCGTTTCGCCCGCTACGTGGTGGCCTTCCTCGCCGTCCACCCAGTCCCCGTTTACAGCTGGTGAAGTGTGATGAGGAAACGTATACATGAAACGAATCAAAATCGTTCGTTGGAATCACATAAAAGTTTCCGGGGAACCCCTTTGTAGCAAGGCTTGTGGCAACAGCGCGCGGGGAAATGGGTTGCTCAAATCCTGAATGTGCCTCCTACCGTTTATTATAGTATTCATGCTCCCCACTTTCGAATTTGCTTGCACACGCAAACATCACTGTCACAAGCGCAAGATGTAGTCGCGTGGGCTCACCAACGGTCGTCGAGGGAGTCCCGGGAAGAGCCACAGTTTTGCTAGCACTATCCGCGACATCTGGCCCATCCGGTTCGCCGGGACTTGAAGCAGACACGGTAAACGTGTTTTCCACGTGACCCCTGTCCATATCGGCTTGCTTGACGATGTACGTGCCTGTGCACGCCATAGCCTCATCTTGGGGGCAGGTACCTGGACGATGGGACGTCGGGGCGTTGGTGTCAACCCCGGTATACAGCGTTTGGAAAGGGGTCTCAAGGCATGTTCCTGATGGACAAGCTTTGCTTGAATCTCCATCGTTTGAAATACCACATGCCTACCAGGCGGGGGCGTACCTTTGTAGGGCAGCTGGCAGGACGTGCTGAGCGTGTCGGCCAGGACTATCTGGTACAAGCATGTCGTGCCAGTGTTGGTGATGATAACCTCATACGTAATGATGTCTCCCGTACCCAGGATACCGTCCGCTCCATTTGAGACGGATTCATCCATCTCTGCCCAACGATCGATGAGAGACCGACCGTCGACAAACATGGCGGACAGATCGCAGGCAAAGTATTTCAGTATGGTGACATCAGCTCATGAGAAAGAATAGAAAATATGATGGTGGCACGGTGGTTCTGTACAACCAGATGGTGAACACCAAATACTGCTCTTCGCTGCGCATGGAGCTAGCGCAACATGCACCGAACCTGATACATCTCATGGTTCTTGGACGGGTTGGTAACGATTTGACCGGCGATCCCTATCAGCACCTTCAATCACAAGTGGGATGCTCCACAATCCACTATCCAAAAGAGATGTCGATGGCAGTGGCAAACACCTGTCCCGTTACGTTTATCTTTTCAACAATCCTGACATTGCTTACAGCTGAGTACGAACTGAGCAGCTCACCAACCAGTACTGTGGATGCCGGCGTTAACTCGTGCCACAACGTCGCCTCTCCTGGCGTACTTCCCAGAGGGCTGGTTGTGGAGACCTCTGCTACCAGGTTCACCCCGGCGGCGTCCATGTCGTCTTGTTGTACCTGCAAAACAGCGCAGTCGGTTGCCGAAACGATGCGTGTGCTGGCAGGTAGGCAACGAGCTTATCGTTTGACACCAAAGACGATGCAAGCAACTTACTAGTTCAACGGATGTCACCATTCTCACCTCATATACCGCCAAGCAGTTGACCGTGCCTTGAGGCGCCAGTTCCAGCCCGGCGAGGTTAGGCTCGCACGATATCTCCGCCTCGTCTGATATACCACTTTTACAACAGAAAAGGGCAACGCATGGCTCATCAAACGGTGTTTTGCTCTGTACTTGGGCAGTGAACAAACGACTCGACAAATATATCAACTGCAAGATAATACACCCGTCATCACCACGGACATTCACCAAGTTCTCGTAACTCCATATATTCACCAAGCTTGCGGTAGGACTCCTCTGATGCATCTGACAATGTGGGTGAAGGTCTGGGTCTTGGTTGACAGCGCCGTTCTGGCGGCTGCCATCCCTGCGTCTATTGAACCTTCCTCACACGGCACGTACCAAGAAGATGTGGCAAGGTACTGTTCGACGTATCGTACCTCACTAACTGTTCCAGCAGCTGCGTGCTGGCGACGCTCACTGAACTCAGGGTGGTGGTGCCAGTGTTGACCAGACTGATCTTGTACTTGATCGTGTCCCCTGCAGAATCTCCCGCAACACCCGCATCGTTTTCGGCTATGGTGGTCGTAGATACCAAAACTGACCCAGTGCGGTTGAGGGACTGGACCGCGGTGTCTGTATCTGTGACAGGACTCCCATACGCCGAGGAACCGATCACGCTGCGGAGAGAATAACCCGATCAGTGTCAACGGTCGGAGCGGTTTGCAAAAAGCGGTATTCGTTTTGTAGTTCATGGAGTCAAACCCTTCTTGTCTTCCAAGTAGTACGGCAGGAACACCTGTTCTGTGTTTTTCTCGTGAAACAGCCTACGATAACGTGCCAGAATCGCGTCAGCCAAAACACTGCTAGGTGCGCTCATATTTATGTTCCGAGGCATGAGAAAAATCTCCTGCTCGACTGCAGGAAATCGTGTCGGGTGCCTAATTGTTGCTTTCTGATTGCTCACCTCATTGTGCTGCCGACTGAGCCAGTATCGATGTCAGGTTGCGTGATGATATGGGTGGCGGTACATTGGAACAGAGCGTTGACCACCCAGGTTTCGGGGGGGGTGCCGTCTGCACACTCGAACGAAATAATTCCTGCGATCACAAGACGCACGATATTGATGCAACATGTAGTGTGAGCGATTCCTACTAGACGGAGCGACATCAGCGCGAACGAAGGGGCTTCTGGCCCAAAAGAGACTAACTCACGTCGGGATATACCCATGAGATGAAGCGCTTTCGCTCAGAGGTGAACAAACCGACAAAAACGTGGGAGGCTAATAGAAACCCGTAGCTGGTTAGGAAGGCGTCTGGCCGCATGTTGTTTGGACAACTTCGTCTGCGTAGTGAATAATTCAACACGTAAAATCGAGACAGGCTCACCATCATCGGATAACTCGACGTCGTGAACGTCGACATTCCCGACATTGTCTGAGGACATCGTAAACTTTATAGGCTCTCCAACACCGGCCAATCCGGATGTTGCGTTCGCCGGGTTGTAGAGCGCCTCATTTTTGACCGAAATGGCAGGATCCTGAACAGGTGAAGCGATAGCATGATTATCACAAGGGAGGGAGGCCGCGGCATCAGACGCTACCTCGCCTTCTCGGTACAAAACTATTGTCTCACTAGTGCGCAGAAGGCGACCAAAGCAAAATATGCGGCATGTCGTACTACTTTGGTGTTTTTGTTTGGTTCTTGGTTGATTCGCTGTTCTTACTCTTAGGCGTTCGACCTAACTATACCTGAATCAGAGGGACTGTGGACAAGAAAGGCATACTCTCGATGGCCTCGTCCTCCAAGACGTCCGCGCTACTCTCGTGGAATGCAGTGGCCTTGACGCTGTCTACCTTCTCTCCTGAGTTGATCTGTGTTGGTCATAAGCACGGTAACGTCATGGGCGGAGTAGTGGGGTCGAGAAGGAAAGCTCACGACACCAACGAAACGCAGGCACGACATGCTCAGATTCCACCCCAAAATGCTGCCCACGACACAACATTTCCTTGAAAACCACCGCGTATCCCGTGACTCTGAAGTTACTTTCAAGGGCGACAGAGGGGGTGCTGCTGTGAAATCCGTTTCTTGTTTGGCGTCGGGGCAACACGGTGACGTATTCCTCGCACCAAATACAGTGCAGCCATCACGTCTGTCTATGTAGGTTTTCGATCTGTTCCTGATAATATCTCGTCGGGGATGTATGATTACAAAACAATCTCAATCCGCCTAACCTCTGCCCGCGTAACAGTGCCCGTTGCCCGGCATTTCAAATATGCAGCGGGAGCCAGACCCTTGCTGGGGTAGCGGGCGAGCCCGTCCACTCTCCCGTTCAGCGCGCCACCAGCATCCCGGCCATCGGTGTCCACGCAAACCATGGCCATGAGGCCCTCCGCTTGAACCGTGATGTTGTACAGGGTCAGCAGACCATCATTGGTGATGGTGTACACGTAGTCGATCTCGTCTGCAGTAGTGGCGGCTAGACCCTTATTGGCGTAGGTAGACTTGAGGAGGAGATCAACAGACCCCACCTAAAGAAAAGAAACGTGGTGCGGGGAAAACATTTGTCTGTACCACTGCACATGACTTTCGAGCGGGTTCATGAACAATTCAATATGAAGTATATATTGTCAGGGGTTAGATTATTCCGCGAACACCAACCTGCACCTGAGACCACAACAACGTAGCTTTGTGCAGGGAACACAACTCGCAGAGGAAACGCCTTCGCCTTCTGTCTGCCACTGTTTGTATGCTTACCTGCTCGAACATCACAACTGCTGTGGCTGCTGCCGACACCTCCTTGTCGTACTGGTCCACGGCTGTCACGATTCCGCCACTTCGCCTCTCAAGGTTGTCCACGTCCGTCGCCGTGAGCACATGCGTTCCGTTGCACGTAACCACAGAGTCCAAGCTGAGCGGCGAAGGCAACACTATCTCGCTGCCGTCAACAATGAACGCCACGTCACAGTCCAGCACCGAAGAGCCGTCTGCGGTGCCGCGCGCGACAACAAGCGTGAGAGAGGAAATCGTACAGGGAATGAGCGTGGTGTGTTTGTTGGTTGATGTTTCCCGGGACATTCTGAGCTGGAGGGAAACATCAGAGAAAGGACAGAAAGATGCGCTCTATTCTGTCTGACGGACGGCCCGAAGATGCTGGACATCCAGGTCCGCACACCGTGACCACAATTCAACGGTGGATTACGCAGCTCCAGACGTCTACATTGACCCTTGCGGTTTGGTCCGGGAACAAAGTTCGCCACTTCGAGCGACAAGGGCAATCATCTAGCGGCGCATGAAGCGCTAGCGGCCAGAGGAACACCCATCACCATGAACGCCACGGGGGGCCGACACCCTCGTTTTCGTCACCTGAGACAAGAGAAGGGTCGCTGAGTGTGGTGTTGTACAGGACGGCATGCCCAATGTTCGTGATCGTGAAGGAGTACCTGGGAAGAGATAGCAATGCAAGAACATTGCGACAACAAACCCGATAGAGATGAGTATTGTTTCTTTTGGCTGGTGTGTCCATGTCGGATAGGTAAGGTTGCCGACAGAGCGCGGCAAGTTGACACATCGTCTCGAGAAACAGCTGCCCTCCTCTTTTCCCTCCCCGAAAAGAAATGCTGACCGAACGGCAGCCGTGTCTTGTATCAACTCCAGCCTGAAACCCGCAAGAACAAAATATTTTCCATATTATATTTTACCCACCCTACACTTTCTCCCGCCACAGCAAGTCCGTCGTGGTGAGAGTCATCCATGAAGAGTCCTTTCATACCTGAAGGAAAAGGCGTTCGTATCCCACGGACGTAGAGCATGTCAAATGAGTCGTACGCGGTTTCCTCGAAGGCCATTTCCGTAACGAGTCGGGGCATTACAAACTATTTACTCCAGTTCAAAATATTTGTTTTCGGCGTGGATTCCTGCTGCGCTGTCGACAAGACAGGTGTCACATGAAATTGGCTATTCACCCCTGCTGGATTTATGGGCATGATCCATACCCAATGAGATGGAGGGAGGTGGCTTGAGGGATACCACCGCAGTAGCGTCGTCCGTGACGGGTTCAGCAGAGGCTGGACCAGTGGCAGACACCCTGTCAGTACATATTTCGGCAAGGAAAAGTAATATGCGGATATTGTATGGGGAACTCTTGTTTTCATGATCGATCGTCCGATGCAGATTGCTCGTCGGCTGTTTCGCCCCTTCTGGCAAGGGATTTCAAAAGAGTGTGAGCTATTGTATCAGCCGCCTGCTGAGTTACACAACATGTCGTCTACGAAACCTGCCTACGTACATTGGCTTTCACGCGTACAAGAATGTCTCGCGTGTCGCGTGAAGTCACCTGACGGTATTCTCCGTTGCGCCGCTGTTGATATTTAGCCACGTGAGCGAGAAAATCCCCGAGCACGAAAAGCCACTACCCGCTACCATCGTGTCCACCATGTCACAGTCGTCCACGACCGCAGCGTTCGCCACAGTTACTGACGTCAAGTCGACGTTTCCAATGTTGGCCACCTGGTCGAAAAGCGTCATCTCGTCACGATTTGCGCTGGGGCTAGATTGTCCTTGTCGCAGAGAAGAAAAAACGCCGCGGCCACTCTTCTTTCTTTCGAAGCGTTGTACGACAAGAATGCATCAGGCAGTTCGAGGAACCTAGCTACAACACGACGAGCTTGTACGACTCGGTGAGGCAAATGGAACCAGGAGAAAGGAACTTGCGACAAGGCGGATGTGCACAATACAGAGGGCCAGTGGCAAAACAGAGGGCCAGTGGCATCAAACGCGCTCAAGAAATGTTTTGCAGGCCAACGGTCTGCCGATCTCTGGCGAAACATTCATGCCGACGTCAGCAAGGTCCAAAGGGCATCAATGTGCCACCTGACACGACATTTACTGGTTCACTCGTTGCAAATTCCTAGTCTTTGGTGCACCTGGAATGTGTACGTGACCGTTTCAAGCTTGTCCGCGTAGCCAACCATACCGTCGACTGTTCCATCCGTCCAGACACCGGTGCTGGCTGCGGCGGGAAGACATCGAATATTCGACGGGGAGAGGAACAGTCTCATGACCGAAAAGGCGTGTAGTTCGCATGTGCGGCGATTTTTCTACACATGCTAAGTTGTTCTGACTTCACTCGGCAAGGAAACGTTGGTGGACAAGCTACACTCAGAGGATCAAGCTTGGGATCAAACAGTCGAGTCGACGATTGGTCCCGAAAGCTCCTGTCTTCGGACTCACGACGTGCATCGCCATCCCACGCAAACTCATCCACCAAGGGGTCACCCATCCAATGTGCTCGGGCAACATATGGAATCACTCCTGAAATGACTTGTGTCTACTCGCGATGTCAACGTACTCGTGTACTTTGCTTGTGCACGATCTCGGGCATACAACAACGAAGCAGTTGCCAATCGTATCTCACCTATCTCGATGAGTGGGTTTTGCGCCAGCGGTTGTGGCCACGTGCTACTTTGGTCGTCGGGTGTTCCAACCGCGGCCGTGGATGTGACCGACGCGGTGTTGGAGACGGTCCCAGCATTGATATCCGCTTGTGTGATCTGCGATTGGGGAAGTGCAGATGGGCGTGACAGGACATCAACAAGGGCAAGTCGAAGGAATATGTGAGAGACTTGTAGGCCCTTCAAGTTTTGTGTACGACACACTGCTCGGTGTGATTCGTGACAAAGCTTCTGCAGCACCCCTTGGGGCGATGGACGGACTCACGACACGCTGCAGAATTTCTGCACCATTGCATCGTCGGCGTTCCTTGGTTCGGTCACCGGCATATCGAAACGCGCACCGATCACTCCATTGGGACGTTCCGCCAAAAATGACTTTTGCTTCATCGTGCCGCAGCCAGAACACAAGACAAGGAGCTTACCGACAAGCGTACATGGGCCCTGTACGTATCAGCGCACGCCTGAAATGTTTCGTGAGTCAGCCGAGAGCTGGCTAGGCTGCGCACATGAATCAACCGTGCACATTGCATTCAGACACGCGTCCGCACACACCTGTCGAGACGCCGTGCAGGTGACCGAATCTCCTACACCCAAGGATGTCAAAGGCTGGCTGACAGCACCGCAGTTGACGTGGCCGCTCGTGTCGGTCACCTTAACGGTCTTCAACGTCACCGTGCCGGTATTGCTCACCGTAATCACATAATCTACTGTCTCGCCGGCATTCGGCCAGCCACTCGAATCAGAGTCCGACCATTCTCCTGTTTCATCTGCAACAACCAACATCAACAGTGACGAAATTGGCTGGTCAGCCCTACACAATCCGATCGTTCTCCACATGGGTATATCCGAAAGCCGGTTCCGTTTCAGCGAGCCAAGCGCGCCCTGCCTCAGACGACCACATGCCGAAGATGTTTCAGCCGTACATCTCTCAACGCGGTGTATACAACCGACAACGAGCACTGACCAATTTGAACCAAAGCCCGAGTGTTCAGCGACACTGGCACATCGACCACATTGCGTATGGTAGACGCATTCTTCGGATCAGCTGTCACCATCGCGGCGCACTTGGCCTGTCCGAGGTCAATGTAGTCCTGGTCAACCTGTCGTCATGTACAACGCAACGGACGACCATGCAGACAATAGGAACCCCGTCGGACGTTTCCCACGGGAAGTTCACGGCGAGCAGCCTCACTCTGTAGGTGGGTGTCCTGACCTTTCGATGCAACGACAGCGGGCGCTGGTGCGCAGCACGGCTCACGCCCCTGTCAGGCCAAGCAGGGTGCTCATGTTTCGTCTCGTCCTGTCATGCTAGCTACTGTAGCGGCCAACACAATCACGTCGACGTCAATCTGTCCA